CTTTTAACGGTCTAAAGAAGCGATTTACTAAAGTCTCCTCGTTATACTATTTCGTACTAAGTAAACAGATCCGAATTGAGACTAACGCTTTATAGTTCGCTATATTAGCTATTATATTATAGCAGGCTAATAACACCTACTAGCACCCGATTGCCTTCTTCTCGAGGAAGATAATTAATGCTAAACGTCGCTACGAGACCTATAAGTAAGAGCTCCTAGCTATTATCGAGGCCTTTAAGTATTAGAGGCACTACCTCGATAGGGCTTAATATACAATACAGGTCTATATAGACTATAACAACCTCCGTAGCATTACTAAGGTTACTAGGGTTATAGGTCGATAGGCTAGATAGGCCGTCTACCTCGCCGGGTTTGATTTTAATATATTATATCGGCTAGGCGTAAGCAACCCTACTAATAGCCTATCGAGGCGACCTAATTACGATAGCGAGACCTAATATATTAATTCTTTGTTTCTAACCCTGTAGTATAAGATTGCTATAGCCCGTATTGTTAATAAGTAAGCGTAGGATAAGCGGACTTCCGGACCCCGCGGCGGCAACAAATACTATAGCGGAGTTGTCGTTCTTCTAGTATATATTAAAAGAAAGGACATAGATCGCTCGAGCTATAATAACTCGATTAAGGACATTGCTATTTATAGTAATAGTCTATATAGCGATAGCACTATAGAAGAGGTTACAGTAGTTCCGGCTGCTAGTACTGTTAGATATATGCAATACGTACCTCGTTTAATAGCGAGAGTGCTATTAAATAACCTTGCAAATAGGGATAGTTAATCGTTTATAGATAAGCTATTACATGCTTAGCAGAGGGACGCCTTTGCTATCGAGCGTATTAATAGGCTTATAAGTAGACGGGCGACTCGATCTAGTAAGAGTAATAGTTAGTCGATCGACGATAAAGGTTACTTAAAGTTTAAGGGCAGATATTATATCCCCGCTAAACAATCGATTAGATAAGAGCTTTTAAAGAGGCACTATAATAGTAAGCTCGCTAGTTACTATAGCATAGAGAGGTCGTACGAGTTACTATCGCGCATATACTACTAGCTAAATAGTAAGCGGCATATAAAGGAGTATATATAGACCTATATAGTATACTAGCGAGTTAAAGCACTAAAGCACTTACTATTTAGCGAGTTGTCTTTACTCCCTGTTCCAAAGAAGCTATTTACTAAGCTTATAATAGATTTTATTATAGGCCTTCTACCTACTAAGCGTAGGGGAAGCAAGGATATATATAATGCTATCCTAGTTGTCGTAGACCGGTTTACTAAGGGCGCTCGTTATATTCCTGCCCGAAAGGATTAGACGGCTATTAACCTAGCTAAGGCGCTATAGACTAATATCTTCTATACCTATTAGGGAACCCCTAAGGGGATAGTCTCCGATAGGGGCTCGATATTTATATTGCACTATTAGAGCGAAATATGCCTATAGCTAAGACTAAAGCATCGGCTATTAATAGCCTTCTATCTATAGACTAACGGTTAAATAGAGAGATAGAATGCTACCCTATAGCAGTACCTACGTAGCTATATTAATAAGAACCCTAATAACTAGGTTAATCTCCTTTAACTAGCCGAATTCGTATACAACAATAGTGTCTACTTATCTACTAAGATGTTACCTTATTTCGCTATAATAGGAAGCAACCCTACGCTACTATAAGACCCCCTATCGCTCGAGGCCGAGCGCAAGGAAAGGGAAGCGGGTTAACCTAAGACACTAGCGGCTATTAAGAGGGTTTAAAAGATGCGAGAAATTTACGCTAAGATAGCTAATAAACTAGCGAAGGCCTAGGCCTATTAGAAGGCCTATTATAACAAACACTATACGCTAATAACCTTTAAGCAAGGCGACCTAGTTATACTAAGCACTAAGAACCTCCGTATCCGCAAACACCTATTACCTAATAGCAAAACAAGGCCTAAGCTCGTACTAAGATACATTAGCCTATTCCGTATTCGAGAAGCTAAGGGCATATAGGCTTACTAGTTGTAGCTTCTACCTTATTACACTATCTATAATACCTTCTATGTATCCCTCCTTAAGCCGTACTACCTATACGAAGGGGATAAAGCACCTACTAAATCCGAGGACATACTAGCTAATAGCGAAGAGCTATAGTCTATAGAACGTATCCTAAAGTATCGGACTAGACAAGGCAAGAAGGAGTACCTCCTAAGATAGCAAGGCTATCTACCTAAATAGGACTCGTAGGAAGCTAAAGGTTCCTTTAAGGATATAACCGAGTTGTTAAATAAGTATTAGACTAGTATAAAGAACAAGAAGAAGGCTAAGGGCCTATAATGTCGCCTAGGAATAATGCTACCCCCGGGGTGCTATTAGCTAACTAATTAGAGGTAAGCAATTATTAGTAATAAAGGATAATAAGACTATACTACTATAGTAGATATATACCGAGCGTTAACAAACGCGCTATAACTGTTAACCGATCGCCTACTCTTTTAAGAATCTACCTCTTTACTAGCGTACCCTATAAGACCCTCCTCTTAGCGCCTCTCTTATTTCTATGTCCTATCGAGGCCTAAGGCCTAGGCGGTCGATAGAGATAGTACGCGCGCATAGGCGAATAGTATTAGTAATAATAATAGTAATAACGGCGTTACGCTTATACTAAAGGGCGACACGGCCGGCGCGGCTATATTAGTAATAGTATTGCGGAGTATATTATTATTTAAAGAAGGAAATCGAAAGCAAGGTAAAGTTAGCGCTAAGACGACTAGCGCTACTATTATTAACATTACTTACTACTATTACTGCACCTGCGGACACAACCTTACCTATACTACGAGCCTAAGGCACCTTTAATTAAAACTTTAATTAAAACTTTAAGCCGCCTAAAAGATTAAGCGACTAATAGACTAACTAAGGGCAAAACTATAGAGCTAAGCTAGCCGGGGTCGATCTTGCGGATAATAGGTTACTCCTCGATCTATCTAACCCTTTAAGCGAGGCGAACCTCTACTACTACACTTATAATAGCCTTTACTTATAGAAACTAAACAAGCTGTATTTTTTAAAAGATAAGATAAGATTAACAATTAAAGGCTACTAAACCTAATTAATTAGGGCTAGTAAAACTACGATAGTAAATAATAGTCCTCGTAATAATAAGAACAACCCTCGGAACGGACAAACCCTCGGAGCGGACATTTCTAAGTCTTTTAAAAGTAGACGCAAAGAACTCGGACAACCTTACTTAGAACGGGGGCAGTGCTGCAATACCCCGTATACCTACCTATTATAGTAGGGAAGGTACGCTCGTATTGTAATTAGTTGCTAGCCTTTAATTTATATAGCTATATAGTACCTTATTATTACTATAGCCGTAGTAATAGCGTAGTTAGAGTTAGACATTATATTATATTAGAGGTAAGGTTTGATATAGTTATATAATTAGGTAGTTAAGTGTTTAATTTAGCGCGGGCTAAGCAGCTTATTAGACTTACTAAGTTAGCGGTAATAGAGGTCGTAGAATATAGATAGGCTACGAGGGCGCGGCCTTTAGAAAGGAAGCGTATATTAGGGCTAAAGAGATTATACGTAATTAGTATATAACTAGGCTAAGTAAAGCTAGGGTCTTAGTGCCTTAGGCAGGGCTTAGCGCTTAGTAATAGGCTAACTTGCCTATCTTCCTCCCTCTCCTTCTAGCTTCTTATCGAATACTATCTATACCTACTACTACCCTATCTACCTACTAATATACCCTTCTTATAGACAACGGCCCTATAATCCCCTATCTAGCTATTAGATAGACTACCTATATAAGTATATCTACCCTTACTAGATAATAGTAACTATAGTAGCTAGTAGTAGTAGCTACTATACTATTATATATATATATATATATATATTATATTAGCTATAGCGACTAGTGAATGCTACTGTTACTATAGTAATCACTATTTACTAATTGACTAAGGTTCTTGGCTAACGCCTACAGGATCACAGTCCTCCACAGTGATCACGGCATGCCCCATCTTCTCCGCAGCTCCTCCGCGAGCGGCGCCATCAAAGCTCTAACCTTGTTACCGCAGCACCAGTGACATCCGACGAATTACCGCTATCCGGGGTTGCGTCAGCCCACTTCACCCCTCGCCCCAGCTCGGGGATTTAAGCCATACGTAAAATCGCACTTTCCTAGTAGGCCACACGTAAAACTCGACGACAGCAATGTTGTAGAGCACATATAATGGGAAACTGAACATAAGCACCATAAGAGGTAGGAACAGTAGATTTCCGGCATATCAGTGACCAAATTGCGACCGTAGGACCTCAATCTAGCCTCAATTCGTGGTACCTCGAAACGACGCGATCTACCACCCTCTCTGCCCTCTCCGCCTCGGTCAACCGCTCGGCTCGCACCCTCTTCACGTTTTTACCCTTATTACGCGCCATACCGAGTTTTGTATGCGATCCGTACAGTAGAACATAAGAAACAGGAGGAGCACGAGGAATACACGCTTTAGAATGAGGTGGACGCGCCTGCCAAGGATTACATAAGAAATGGCGACAGTGAGGTCCTATAGCCACTATATACTCGGATAAACTGGCCAATATAATATTTGGACTCGCGGTTCAATACTACATGCACCTATATATCTATATGGGACTGGAACCTACCACCATATCGAGTTTTACGTGTGGCCTACTAGGAAAAGGCGATTTTACGTATGGCCGGAAACCCCGCGAACAGCGGGGAGGAGTGTGTGAGTCGTGACGGAACCCCGGATAACAGATGTTTGCACGCGCGAGCCGCGTGGTGGCCATGTTGGCATTCTGCAGTAGAGCCGGTTTGCCTGTTGGAGCAGTCCGTTCAGAGTGCTAGCTGTTAGCGCGCACGGTATAGATGGGATTCGACTTAAGAAAGCCTTGTCTCTTCCTTCCTTTCCTTGAGCTTTGATCTTTGATTCTTGGAGATTCTTGGAGCTGGTGCTCAGCGTAGACAAGATGGGCAAGAAGTTTTACGGACTCGTGGGCACGAAGCTCAATATCGCCATTGCCGTGGTCGCCGGTGTCGACTTCGCGCTTTTCGGATATGACCAGGTAAAGAGAAGACAAGCAGACAAGCAATGCTTCGGGAAGTCAAGGCTGACAGGTCTTTGCAGGGTGTTATGGGAGGCTTGCTCACCCTCGGTTCGTTCCTGAGAACCTTTCCCGAAATCAATGTGCAGAATCCCCCAGAGGGCCAGACTGCCAGTCATGTATCCAACATCCAGGGCATCACAGTCGGTGGCTACACTTTGGGATGCTTCTTCGGCGCAGTGGCAACTATCTGGCTTGGCAATCTGCTTGGACGAAAACGAACCATTATGGTCGGTTCTGCTATCATGGTCATCGGAGCGGCCATCCAATCCTCTTCATTCAGTCTAGGTCAACTTATAGCGTCCCGTCTCATCACAGGATTCGGCAATGGTATGAACACATCAACTGTCCCCACATGGCAATCCGAAACATCCAAGTCTCATCGCCGAGGCCAAATGGTGATGATTGAAGGATCTCTGATTGTCTTCGGTGTGATGCTCTCTTACTGGCTCGATTTGGGATTTTCCTTTTTGGAACCATCAACGATATCGTGGCGATTTCCTATTGCATTCCAAATCGTTCTTGCCCTATTCATCCTTGCACTGATCCCAGGACTTCCTGAATCGCCACGATGGCTCGTCTTGAAGGGCAGGGAGGCCGAGGCCCTTGATGTTCTATGCGCGTTGAGCGACCTGCCTGAAGACGACCCAAAGATTCAGAGCGAGTTCAAAGCCGTCAAGGACACTGTCTTGGAGATGGCTCAGGGTCGCTTCGCAGACTGCTTCAAACTCAACCGCAACCGCAACTTCCACCGAACATGCCTTGGATACGTGAATCGTAAGTGGCTCTGCTGATGAAATGAGAGAAGCCACTAACACTCTTGGCAGAAATGTTTCAGCAGATTTCTGGGATTAATGTAAGTAATTCTGCCGAAGCGATCACAGACAGCACTAACACCGAGCCAGATCATCACCTACTACGCGGCAACCATCTTCGAGAACAGCATTGGACTTTCACCATTCTTGTCTCGACTGCTAGCAGCACTCAACGGTACTGAATATTTCATAGCATCCTGGATTGCGATCTTCACCATCGAAAAGATTGGCCGAAGAAAATTGATGTTGTTCGGCGCAGCTGGTCAGGCAGCGTCGATGGCAATCCTTGCAGGCACAACCTCAGTACCCACCGACAATCCCAACAGTCAACAGTACGGTATAGCAGCTGCCGTCTTCCTTTTCGTCTTCAACTCTTTTTTCGCCGTCGGGTGGCTTGGCATGACATGGTTGTATCCAGCCGAGATCACACCTCTGTCAATCCGTGCGCCAGCCAACGCCATTTCGACGACAGCGAACTGGATTTTCAACTTTATGGTCGTGATGGTGACGCCTGTCGCTTTCGCGAACATCGGATACAACACCTACACGGGTAAGCGCATCGCGACGACCGATATCTCTGCTGTGCGACGTACTAATGTGATTCGCAGTGTTTGCCGTAATCAACGCGTTCATGATTCCGTGCGTATATTTCTTCTTCCCAGAAACTGCGTACAGATCGCTCGAGGAAATGGACGAGATTTTCCACAATGTTCACGGGCTTAAGGGGGCATTCGACGTTGTGCGCGTGGCAAAGAATCATCCACACAGATTTGGCAAGAACGGAGAAATCCTCATCAATTACGAGGAGACTGAAGAGGCAAGAGAGATTGAGAGGAGGAGAAGCTCGGTCGTTTCTGTTGGTCATGCAGAGAAGGCTACTAGAGACCACGTGAACGGCGGCACTGAGAAGGTGGAGGATTTGGAGAGCAAGTAGAAGTTTGACCTGGGTGTGTGAGGAAGTGTATGTATGGCGAGTCGAAGCAATGTCATATTCAACAATTCACCTCACCTCACACTTTGGCTAGCGTCTCACATTCTCGGCGCCAATTTTGAGAGTGGGTGCCGTCGAAGCTACCCGGCTTGATGGAAGCAATTCCGCGATCGAGCGCAAAGATGTCAAATTCTTCCGGCCCTCGTGATTTGCACGTAGTTGCTCGATGCGCTGTGAAGGTACATGTGGACGGCACAAGGAGAGATGATGGGAGTGAGGCAATGCAATGTGGACCACTGGATATATGCTGACCTTGAGAGAGCATGGCCAGCTCTTGGTGAGGACGGCGACATGTGACATGATTGAAGCAGCGCAGCGTTCGATCTCGTGTTTGATGCGAGCCTTGGTGTGCTCTGGTTGTTGTGCGTAGGTACGAGCCCTTGCATTCACTTGATCGGTGCATTATTGGTAACTGTGGCTGGTACTATTGCGGCTTTCCGGGTTGAAACAGGAAGCAATGCATGTCTTGGATGTCGACATCGAGGCGTTGTGCTCGGAGGCTGCTTGGTAGTGGCACAGTGTTTGACGATAGCAGCAAACTTGTTGTTGTTAACTCGATGTAAGTCGCTCGAAGTACATGTGTGCTGATGATGCCAAGATATTATTCTCGTTGCCGCTGACTGGAGAGCGAGCCAAAATTGTGATTATTATTAAGCTTCTTGGCATCGGCGGTAAGAGCCGTGTGAACCCGATTTCGGAGGGTCAATCGCAATCGCATCAGAGACAGAGAAAGAGAAGGCCGAAGCATGTCATGTTTTCCTGCTGCGCGTTTGACGAAGCACCACTTGTGACATGTGACTTGTGACTCCGACGTGTGCACAATACTACCGAACGCGAAATTCGCCGTGTGCTTTGTCCGACGCACTTTATCAGATCGAAGTGGACTTATCAGATCAAGTCCCTCGCCACTTCTCTCGCGAAGACCTCGACGAGGCCATCTTTGGGTGAGTGCCGCCAGTCCCTTCCAAGTTCGTCATTGCCCACCACGGCCGAAAAGCAGCGGCGCGCACCTCCGGCTGTCGATGTCGGATGATGCCCTGCCCCTCGCCATCACCAGCAATATCGGTCGACTGCCCCAGTCAGGAGCACATGATGATGCTGTCGACATGTGCTGGTGGAGTTCGCCGCAGCGAGAGGCCGGCGCGGGCACAGACACACACGCACATCACCGCGCGGAACACTGCGCTGACAGCCTGACTGCGACGGCGAAGGTGCAGTGGTGGTGACAAAGCCAGACGCCAATCGGCCCACATCGCACATGAGAATATTTGGCCTTTGCCGTGCCTGACCCCCCGTCCCCTCCCCTCCTTCGGCCTGCGTCTCGGTGACTTCGTTCTTCACAACTGTACCCTAGTACCCAGTCACTCCCTACTTTTTGTATTACCAATGTCTTGACAATTACTTACGAGAGCACAGAACAACGCTTGTCGATCTTTTGTGCTCCTGCCTTCGACACCTCACCATGACTACTTCACTCACAACCGCCCCCGGGCCTCGCCGCCACAGTTTCTCGCACTTCGGCAGAGAATCGCATCGTCATAAGAATATTCCATACTCCTCCACCAGCAACCCCGACAACCCCATACCTGTAGAACCCGTCGCCCATCCGTCCATGCATATTCCAATGGATGCCAAAATCAGACTCAGCAACATGCTCTACGCTCCAAGTCCACGATCAAGTGGGGAGAGCCTTCATTACACCGACGACACCAACACAAGCGACTCAGAAGCCCCGTCAACTCCGCCTACTGAGCCGACTGACCTAGCGGAGGACGCCTTGAAGGGCGTGAAGCAGCGCCCTCTCGCCGAGCACATCACATCAACGCTGCCCATAAGAACACGAAAGAGAAGAGCAAGCACTACATACGCCTCAAATGTCGACGACATCCGGAGACTCATTGGCTCTGGCAGTGGCACCAAGTTCCTGCAGAAGTACTGCTGTGGCGAAGGCTGCTGTATGATTGAGTCCTTGCCACTTCACACCGATGACGTTGCATTTGCGCCAATCATCACACCTGCGAATGACGCATACAGATTCCTCGCTCTGAACTTGCGCTCACTATCGCTTGACACTGAGTTGACCAAGATTCCGGAAATGCCTGACCAGAAAGTACGCTTCGGCACAATCCGCCGACAATCCATCACCGACAAGTTTCCACACGAAGCACTGCATAAGCATGACGTCGATGAAGTCAATGAATATCCTCCAGAATACATGAAGCCGCACCCACCTTATAGCATTTTCAATGCCCCGCTATATGGCGCTCGGGAGTTGACCAAGCCTGGTGCCGAGAAGCGGACATTCCATTTCGATATCGATGTGACCGATTACCCTGAGGAGGGTGGTGTTGACTTCAAGGTGGGAGGCGCCGTTGGGGTATGTCCTCCAAATGATCCTGCTGTTGTCGAGGACATCATGGACCAGCTTGGCATACCACGCTTTCAACGAGACAAGGCCATACGATTGCATACTTCCGAGGGACGCTGGCCGACCATCTGGGGCGAGGAGGAAGCAAGAGAACTTGTTACCACACGAAGAGAAGTGCTCACATGGACCGTTGACATTTCTTCAGTCGCGCCCACAAAGCCACTGATTAGATTGCTGGCCGAGTATGCATCGGAGCCGAACGAGAAGAAGATCCTCGAATACCTTGTCAGCGCGCAGGGTCAGGCGACTTTCTGTGACTTGAGAACTGGACCACACATCACATTGCAACAGCTCTTGCACGCTTTCCCGTCATCCAAGCCGCCGCTTGAGTATCTGTGCAGCGTTCTCAACCAGCTCATGCCAAGATTCTATTCCCTGTCCAACGATCCGCACGTTTCCTCCGCGCGAGAAGGTCTTGCAGGACGACGATTGATCGAAATGGCAGTGACTATCCACGAAACATCGGACTTCAAAGGAAAGCAACGCACGGGTGTTGGTTCCGGTTTCATGGAAAGGCTAGCGATGAAGTTCATCGAGGCTGACGAGAAGGCGCAAAGGGAGGCAGAGGCAAAGGGCTTCTGTCTACGACCAGGCGTGGGAGGTCGCCGAGCCAACCTTCACCTACCCATGTTCCGCGGTTTAATGGCAAATCCTCTTTCCAAGAAGTTCGTCAGTGATGGTCCCATGGTCCTCATCGGTGCTGGTGTTGGCATGGCGCCATTCCGTGGCTTCATCCTGAATCGACTCAAGAACGCCAACTGCGCCAACAAGATCTGGCTCATCCAAGGTATTCGCGACAGCATGCTCGACGAGATCTATCGTGGTGAGCTAGGTGATCACGAGAAGGATATCAAGAAGGTTGTGCAATCACGCGCCAGGACATTGCCGCCTGTTTCGGAAGATGACAGCGGTGTTGTTGGAGAGGTACACACCGATGGCGAGACACCTGTGGTCGCCGATCCAAAGAAAAAGGACAAGGTCGCCAAGTATGTCCAGGATGAGGTCCGGCACCAGGCTGACATCGTTTGGTACGTCGTCAATGCTCTCGACGGCCGCATCTTCGTTTGTGGCTCTAGTAAAGGCATGGGTGAAGGCGTGGAGAACGCATTGATTGATGTCGCTATGGACAAAGGCAATCTCGATTACGAGACCGCCAAGCAATTCTGGGAAGGCAAAAAGGAGGCAGGCCAATACATTGCGGAGACCTGGTAAAGGATTGGCTCTCGAGCAGGGCCTGCGAGGATACAGATGGCATAAGCAGACCATCAGACATTTACCGAATGCATAGCTCGGGCTGCTAAAATAATTGATTTCAAAGGCGCGAAAGGTGTGGGCGGCTACATAAGCCAGCAACTGGGATAGTGCTGGAGCACATGGGGTGGGAGGCAAGGGACTGATAGCGTTGTCGCAAACATAGTGATGGAATTGTGTACATATTTGTTGCCCAAGGAAGGCTTGTCATATCAGACAACATGACATGTCGATTGTGAAACTTGCTGGATTCCTGATATCCACGTTCGCTACTCTTTTCCAATGTCGCCAAATGCAGCACGCCCGACCTTTGACCAGTCTCTGATATCCAGCCTCGTGCGGATCGACCTCATTGTCTCAGGATGAAAGAGATGCAGCTGAAGATTCTTTGAGACAACGATGATCGTCGAATGTAAGTCCACCCCTGCACCCGCTCCACCCTCGCCATCGACATGCGAAAGCAGAGCCCACTCAGCGCCGCGGTAATTCTGATCAAGGACAGGTACGGTTGCAATAATCTCCAGAGCCCGACCTGCCGCCACCCGACCTCGTTGATTTCCCACGCTATGCCATGGTCTTCGAATTCCAATCGATCCAGTTCGTCCAAGTATCGGTGTATTCGGTTCTGAATCCGTTCCGCAGCTACAATTTCTGCTTGGATCGCTGCGATTTCGGGATCTGGATCCCATTCTACTGTTCCTTCCTCGTTCGTGCGAAGGAGAGGGACGCGATGAGTTCTCTGACCTTCTCTGACGGTCACGATTAGGTCCGGTGGGTCATCGAGTGACGCGTGTCCAGCCCCGGATTCGTCTACGTTGACTGTTGATCGCGGTTTGGGCTTGATGAAGAGTTGTTTGCGGCAGAGAGGGCAGGAATTGTTCTTTTTCAGCCATGCGGTTATACATCGCTTGCCGAACTTGTGGTTGTCGTGGACGACTACGGTGCGCTCTGGCTTTTTACCGTGACGTGGACAGTTTCGGGGCGCATTGTGAGCAGTTCTCGTCTCCTGGAGGCAGATACCGCAAGTGATGGACTCCCGCGAGACGCTGTCGCCAAGACTGGCAAGGAACTCTTTGCGGGAGGGCAGAGGACACGATTCGGTAGGCATTTTCGGGGGAAGCTTACCGAGAGAAGCCTGGTTGTACTGCTTGTCTTGAATGTTGATGCGAGTGATTCGGCAGGCCTGTCTGATTGATGAGAGAGGACGAGTAGTGACTTGAGATTTGGATATGGGCAGAGAAGAGAGGAGAGCAGAATCGTAACATATATACTGACGAAAATAAGACTGAGGACATGTCCTCAAAGTCTCAAACCTTGTTTGGAGTCCAAGCCGTCCATTTTGAGCATCCAGGATGAATGTTCTCGTGCATTCACCGATTCCCCCACCCATTTTCAGTCATTGCGTCGATGGATACAAGGTGCGGAATGAGTGTTCGCGAATGAGTGAGAGTGCATGTATGTATCTTGTGTTGGTGACAGAAACTCGCGGGCAGGGGCAAGGGCGGGGGTAGAATAGGTAGCTGCGGTACGATCCGCAAGCTAGGGAGCGCGCTGGCACAACCGCGCGGCCGCGCCTTCACCTTCACCTCAAGCAAACGCGTTTCTTGCCGTACAGCACACCCGACACATCTTGCTTGTCTTGTCACTGGCGACTCCTTGCGATGCATCTTTCGCGATCACTGTTTGAGCTCGTATACCAGGCGCGCAACAACTGAGATCGGAAGTTCGCATTTGCAGCCATTCCTGCATGACACCGTGACGGCAAGTCCGCTCCAAGTTCAACATGCCACCATCACTGGAAAGCTCTCTGGCGCTCAATGAGCCACCTGCAATCAAGCACAAGCAGCTTCTGCTACATGTACCCGTCATCAGGAAGTCGCCAATCAAGAATCCTGGCAAAGGATCTGAACGTCGCACATATGGCCACGAACCTCTACCCGTCAAACCATCAGATGTCAATCCTCGAAATGGTCGCATCATCGGCCGTGTGGCTGAATTTGGTCAGATCCCAGTGTATACACTGGCGGTCGGCGATATCGAGATCAATGGCATCAAGCTCTGGGAGATTCTGAACTACGTTTCGCCGCTGGAACTGGAGCGCTACGAGAATCAGCAATTCAAAGAGGAAGCGGAAGCAATAGAGATTGCTCGTGCAGCAGCTGAGAGTGAGAAGGAAAGAAAGCGTCTCAGGCGAGCCGAGAGAGCCAAGCAGAAAGGTATCATTCTTTTTCAGGAAGTGGGCAGTGATGCGGAAGAGTCGAGCGACGCAGGCGATGTTGCACAGGGCCGACATGGTCGAGCGCGGCCAACATATACACACCTGTTCAAGAAACCTGAGCTCCCGGATGAGCGTCGACGGCGACGAAAACGAGACCCAGAAACAGGCGAGCTTATGCCGTTGAGCGACGAGGACGTACGCCAGCATAGTGACGCTGGACCCAAACGAAGAAGGAGGCGGAAGCGAGATCCTATCACTGGTGAACTGATGCCGCTCAGTGACCATGGCGAAGATGCTGAGATGTGTGACTCCGATGAGGAAGGCCACTCTTCAATTGCTCCATCACCCGCACCCGGAGCAATGCAGCTACCGAAACGCCGAAGAAGAAAACGTGATCCGAAGACTGGAGAATTATTACCTCTGGAACCTATACAGCCGGTAGAGAAAGATCCCGACCATAAGAGGCCACGTCGAAGACGCCATCCCATCACCCATGAACTAATGCCTCTTGGCTGGCGTTATAACCCGGACGAGGAGAAGAGAATCTCTCCAAACGCTCGAGATCTTGTTAGTCCTGCCATGAGAAAGATGAGCATCTCGCAGGAACACGGATCGAAACGGATCAAGCTTGCGTCCGAATCTTCTGACGACAGATCGCAAAGTTGGCCAGCATCAAGCGGCTCACTCCGTATTTCCCTCAGAAACACGCCTGCGAGACAACAGTCGATATCCTCTGCAGCAAAAGTCGCATTAGAAATATCCGAATCTGACGACTTAGCCTACAATGGTGAGAATCATCGCCCGGTGTCTGCATCGAAGGCCAAGACTACACCGAAAACCTCTATAATGCATCCCACGAAGGCCGAAACCAGTGCTGATGACTCTTCTGATTCTTCAGCGGAGCCAATCACCCTGGCATCTTTCTTGAAAGCGTCCGGAAAGCGTGCCGATTCGGGTGATGAATCTGAGGACTCTGAACACGCCGCAAAGCCTGACCAAAGTCAAGCAAAGACCAGCATCATGAATCCGGTGGCCCCACGGCAGGCTGGCGATGACGAAAGTGACGAAGAAGAGCCAGACGAGGATGAATGGGTTGTCGAAGCTATACTCGGCCATCGAATGTCAGACCCTAAGACTCATCCTCGCCAGAAACAAGTCGTGCTCTATCATACTAAATGGGAAGGTAGCGAAGAACTGACATGGGAGCCATCCGACAGCTTCATGGATCCAAGCACAGTTCGTGATTATCACAAGCGATTAGAAGAAGAGAAAAGAAATGCTCAAAACGCGAAAGCGACACCAGAGCGGTCAAGACAGGCGGTGCAAGTTGCTCAGGCAGCGACCACTCGCGTGCCAATGCCGAGCACCGCACAACCAAGGAAGCAAATGGAGGAGTCCAGTGATGAAGAGAGCGATGAGGACGATGAGGAGGGATGGGAAATTGAATCAATCTTGGCACATCACATGAGTGATCCGCGAACACACCCGGGCAAAGCGCGGACAATGCTCTACAAAGTGAAGTGGAAGGGTTGGAAGGAGCATACTTGGGAGCCTCTGGCGAGCTTTCCAGACAAGGCTGTCGTGAATGCGTACAGACGGAAGATGGGTCTGATACCAGTGTGAGCAGCCACCGTAAGTAGAACTTATGCTGCATGAAATCTTGCTCATAGACTGCCCTCAGCATTCATGAATTCTGACTCAGTGGCGACGGAACAGTCATAGCTTCAGCTTCACAGACGCAGCTTCACTTCAAAACGCAGCGACTGACTCACTTTCATCACGCACTCCGAGCACCTAGAAACGCATTCGAACTGTTCCTGCCTAGAATCAATGAGACGGAGATGATACGGGAGAAGATCAGCCAAATCGCCAGGCTCCTCTCGCGCTGAGCATAGATATCGCACTGATGCTTGCTGCATTCTGATGCACGAAATCCCCTGCGGAAAGCTAATGTCTTCGTGGACCGGACGGCGTGCTACCAGCACAATTCGTTATTTTTGGCACTATCGTCTTGCTACAGCCTGTAGCTCTGCTCTGTACTCATCAGTGCGAATGCTGCGGCATGTACAGCTGACATAGACTTTCGTAGCGCACGCTGTGGCTGAAGTCGTGCATGAAGCAGAGGGGCTAGACTTCCGCTCAGAGAAATCTGCCTTATAGCAGAGCTCCCTATCATGCGCACGCAGTCGATACTTTTGGTCTTTAGCGAAGCCGCGGAGCTTGTTGCTGTCCAAACAGGTCGAGACGCCAAAAGAGTCCTGCTGTGGCTGGCTGTAGAGAAGCATGCACGGCACGGCGCAAAATGGACTTCACCTGGCTTATATCTGGGCTGTGCGACGGATGCCCTGCCATGAAAGTTGCCACTACCCTGCCATAGACGTCTTGTAGCGTCCCTATACAACATGGCGACAGGCTTGCGGGAACGAAACGCAGCCATATCTCCAGCTCAACCTCATGAGAGTCCAGTGGACATCGACATCGAGAAAAAGGGCGCTACGACATCTACCTCAGAACTACGAGGTCGCGATGCCGATGCCGTGGATGCAAGCACCTGGCAACCAGGTGTAATCGCACAATTTCCATGGATGGGTATTGGTGCTCTTCTTGGGGTCCTGATACTGTCTGGATGTTCTCTTGTTGTGCTTGGGCTGGCAAACGGGAAGACACAGGATATATGGCCAAACCACTTCAAGCCTAACTCGGTCTTGACTCTACTCAATAACGGAGCCAGCATTTGTTTTTCGATTGCAATAGCAAATGGTGTGGCCATTGCGTGGTGGCGTCGTGCAATGAAAGGCGGAACGATTGAGAACTTGCACAAGTCATGGACATTCTCTACAAGCCTCAAAGAGGCACTTTTGGCTGGCAAAGGCTTCAATGCCATTGCCTTGGCAGCATTGACAGCGAAATCCGCTCTCATTGACGGATAGTGAGTAAAGACACGTCAAGTCAGCTCGAGTGTGTGCTAATAATATGTGCAGTCTCATGCAAAGTGCATTGTCCACATACATCGCGCCGAACACAGCAATCACAACTAATGTCAACGGTTTTGCAAATACCACTTTTCGACTGACAGGACAGACGTTAGGTGGTATAAATGGGAATGACGACTCAAATAAGATGGATTTCGATATCCTCAAAGAACTTCTGATATGGGACGAGCGGCCGCAGCAATTGCCTCTCAATGGCTTCTGGGGCTGTGATGGTCTTTGCTTCGTCCAAGTACCCGCCGCCGGCCTTGAGATCGACTGCTCGTCGAGCTCGGCCTCGATTGACTTTCAACCTCTCCTTGGCAGTGGTGGCTCTTCCACTGTTACTGTGGGCTCAGAGGATCCAAATAGCAGTTCCAGCAGTGTCGGCGGCTCTCAGAGCAGCGAAGCAGCAAGTCCCACCGCGACATCTGCTGGCATCACCGTTGGAGCCGAGAATCCTAACAGCGGCAACATCACCAGGAGACAGGAGTCATCATCTGACCCTCCTTCTATCGTCATTACTAATGGTACCACCGTGACAAACGTGTCATTCCAACACGAGCAGACTATCTTCAACGTCGCATTTCACAGCCAGTACACGGATCTGGAACAGGGAGACTACTCGAATCTGACAGACACCGTATTGCGAGGTGGTCGGCCGTCCAACCTCACGATGGACATTACGTACACCCAGGCCAGCGCAACTGATGATCTTGGAACAACGTGCTCTGGCTCGATCTACAAACAAACCTGCACTTTGCGACCAGCCATTTACAAATACCCTATCATGATCCAGAACTATGCACTTGGCATAAGACATCTTCAAGGTGTTTCTGTTGGCGTCACCGAGGAGTCATATTTCAGCGGTCAGAGCGATATAACCACAGAATACGACCCAATCAGCAAGCAGCAGACCGGCTTCGAGTTCGTGGCTTATCAAGACATCTACGAGCATTATTCTCAAGCGGGAGGCACCACTGATGTGAACACCACTCTTGCCGGATTACAAAAAGCTTTCGAGATGGTCATGGGTGGCCAAGCCAATGCTTCAGATACTGGCACCAGCGGCTGGTGGCTTGTTCAAGACAGTAGCGCCCAGCTATATACATCCCGAGACGCTTCAAGCGGATGTGCATGGTGGTATGAGAACCCACTCAACCCATCGCGTCAAAACGATGTGCATGTGAAGGGCGTGGTATCGTCCATTAACCAGATTATGTTTGCTATCTATACCAACATTACCAACAACGCTACGCTGACTCCGCCTCCTGTTGTGAACCAGTACTCAGCGGTGGAGTACAAGGACACCATTCACTACCGCACGAATTGGGCTTATGGCATTGGTGCTATCGCGAGCACTTTCTTCTGCGTTCTATGCGTTCTGCCCGTATATTGGGGATGGTGGCAGCTTGGCCGCAAGGTCACTCTAGGGCCTTTCGAGATCGCCCATGCTTTCCGCTCTCCGATGACTGCGCAGGCCGCAAACGGTGGTATCGAGGAAGTACTCAAGCAAGTCGGACAACGAGAAGTGCAGTACGGACATATTGTCGCCGGTGATGCGAGAGGGGTCGTTGGCGTCGCGGAGCCTGAATTTGTTGAGAGGTTACCTACCAAGCCAGTGAAGCAATAGGCCAACCTCTGCATTTTGCGTTCTGGAGAGTAGGTACTGTGGCTTTGGGAGCCAGCGGAGCCAGCCGCATTGATGCAGCGAAGGAAATAGAAATGCGCAGTTGCTGGCCGAAGGAGAAGCGCCTAGCCACGCTTTTCACCCAATACTGCGAGAGGCCTTCGGAAGCCGTTGAACGTCGAAGTGCGGTTGCGGTTGATTCTCGTTTGGTAGTATGAATATCGGGCCTCGCCTTGCCTGCTGCCCGGCAACCCCACCTTGCTTGCGAGCTCGGCCTAACACAATAGCCAGCGTCTCCACCAACTGCATTGCGTGCTTTGATTCTTCGAACAAATCGCACAAGCATCTCCATCTTGCTGTACAGGACTGTCGAAACTTGAAACCATCAGCCTCTCCACCCAGAATGTCACCGACGATAGCCGAACACCATCACGATCATCCGCCACCAGAAGATGACTGGAAGAACTCAGGCGTTCGTGTGATTCCATCTGACTCTCTTGAGCCAGTCGGGGGCCAGCATATGACTCCCGGTATGGACCGAGCAGCAGCCATAAACTTTGCTCGCGTCGGGGCGCAGAAGCTCTGGGCGGGCACCGTTCATATTCATCCCGATGCGAAAACTGGTGCTCATCACCACGGACATCTGGAATCCGTCATTTATGTTTTGAAGGGCAAGGCCAGGATGCGATGGGGAGAGAAATTGCAGTATACTGCTGAAGCCGGACCGGGTGACTTCATTTACGTCCCGCCGTGAGTCGTGGCCGTCTGGCGAAAGATATGTATTGACTTGGACCCAGATATGTACCGCATCAAGAGATCAATGCAAGCGCGGATGAGAAACTAGAATGTGTTCTCATGAGAAGTGATAGTGAGGCTATTGCTGTGAACCTGCCAGATGTTGAGCCTGTAGAGAAGCCGGAGAGTGTTCGTTGGATCGATCCTACGCACCCAGAAGGCTGAGTGTCTCGTTATGCGCCTCCATGCCCCTCGCCTGTCTCAGCAGCTTGGTCACAGGTCAGCATCGGGAATGTAAGTTGTCGCGAACCGAATTACTTGAAGCGAGCGGGTCGGCTGATGAGTAGTAGCGGAAGCAGACACCATACGGTCGGCATCGTGATAGATGATCCACTAGTAGGTAAAGCCAGACTTGTGCTTGTGAAGGGTTGCTTGGGCTGGAGAATGGTGACGGTAGTTGTCGATGCAGGAAGCGTTGTAGCGCTGAGACTCCATACGACTCCCAAGCTTGTTGCCAGATTCATGTTGGTCACATTCCCAGTCGTAGCACCGGCAGAAGTGACGAATGTGCCGGTTGTATCATTCATCGAAGTGATGTTGCAAATGAAGACTGTATGCTGAGCCCGCAGAAGGCAATGACTTCCGTGAGGCTTTAAGTATGAGCCAAGACAGTCCGATCTTACTCGAGACAGCTGAGAACGCCAGCGCAACAGCTGATTGGCGAGCGTCAGATGAAGCCTGAATATCTGCACTTCACCAGTGGGCAGCGCTCCTAGCCTTTGTACATAATGCTGGTGGAATGAGTGCCTCTTGCTCTATCAAAGAGCGCGGCTAAGATTACATAGCTCTTCCCATTTCGAGTATCTGGTCTACGACCTAGCGACTTTCTGCGCGGTGTCACCATCTGCATTCACCCTTGATGCAATTTCTATGCGTCTCTTGCGTCTTGCGACCTGCCCAAACGCCATTGCAATGCTTCCTCATAACTCATGTCATCGTATCGCTCGTGCAGCCATCCTACCGAAACCAGCGCCGGGCACTGACCAAACCATTGGCCAGTGCACCCAGTGCAGAGGAGCTGCCTCCATAGCCTCCGTTCGACGGGTCTTCCTAAAACGCGCCGTTGTCGGCCATGGCGGATTCTTCTCCAAAGCCACCCATGCGTCCGCCCCGGCTGCCAAAGCCGTTGCGTGACTCTTTCAGATGACGATCCTTCTGAACAATGCCAAATTTGGCACCCATGCTCTGAGCTTCTGATATTGACCGTGTGAGGCTGGCAAGCAGAGACGTGATGTGCACGTCTTGCTTCTCCCGCTCTCCTGCCTGCTGGAGTAGAGTCTTCGGCTCTTGCGTGTCAGTCGCAATTTGCTGGCCCGTGGGTGGCGCAAGAAGTGGAAGTCTTGAGAGCATCGCATTCACGCTGCGAAGAAGTGGATGATTTGTGCCTTCTGGAGGCGCGGCCGTGGATGTGGCATCTGTAAGGTAGCTTGGCGGAAGCGAGGTGAGATACTTGCGAATCAGGTTGAGGCGCTCATTCAGCATCTTGATAGCGTTGACTTTGGCTTGAAGCGATGAGATGAGCTCATCGTCTTCTGGCGAGAGCACATTCGATGCAGCAATGCCGTTTGCCTCGCCATCCTCGCCGTCCTTCGCCTTACCTTTACCCTTGCTTTTGGCTGCATCTTTCGCCTTTGAAGCTCCAGCAGTCGATGCAGACTCCACTTTAGTCACGGCTGTTGCAGTTCCGCTGCCCTTCGCAACGAAATCTACTCCGATTCTCTCTGCATCTCCCGTCTCAACTTCGTAAGCCAGCTCTTTGAAGCGCGTCTGCGTCTGATCGCCGCCAGTCTCCTCCACAGGCTCGTACAGGCTGATCGGCAGCTTCCCGCCTTGCAAACTGTCCACCAGTTCTGGGTGGAAGAGCAGCAGTAGAATACTGTCAGAGTTGGTGATGGTCTTGACCTGCTCCAAGAGTGGAAGATGACTAGGCTGCGGGCCATCGACTGGACCAAGAGCGAAGACAGCAACCAGATCGAGCGCTGGCTCCTTGTGAACCTCCTTGTACATCTCGAGGCGCTCGTTGAACCATTCGCCATCTAACGACACGCTGCTTGTCTTTTCGTCGGCCAGTTTGCACTCGTAAGCGTGCTCGAGAGTGAAGTTGCGGCCATTTTGTTGGCCAATGACAGCTCCGAGTGCAGGGCCCTGCTGCTGGCGGATCGTGTGTCGTGTGATGTAGTCGGAGATGGTGAGCAGTACGAGTGGATGCAACTGGACGTTGAGCGATGTGTCTGGTCTACCTGCAATAACGAGGGGATTGGCGCCTGCCGCTTTGCCTGCCATGTTGTAGCGCGCGATGTCGAGTCGCGAAACAGTGCAGTGTATGCGCAGTGTTGTTCAAAGGTCGACCTCGAGATGAATGTTCAAGCAAGTTCGGCGAGTGTTCGGACTTTGCTTGGCTTGGCAAGGAGGAGCTTGGGCCATATATGAATGCCAAGACAAGCTCGTCAAGAACTGTTGATGGGAGAAATGCAATCGTAAATCGGGATTCATGTACTTTCTTCGGAATTGTGTCGACTCACTCGTACGATATGATAAGTTGTAGGCCGCGTGTGCGACAGGAACGTGGAGACTCCTGCCAACCCTGTTGTGGGTCACATTGCAAGAATGAGCTTGACGACATTGAGGTGGGGCGAGATGCCGGGTACGAGCAATGCATGGGGCGTGAGAGCATCCACCGTCCTCCATCGCGAATTCAAATTGTGAGGCATCATACTGCATAGCGTGAGTCGTATAGCTTTCAGAGATCACTTCACTTGCGATCTTGCCAAGATACATGGTGGTCTCCGCTTTCATGTGCCACAGTCTTGGCCTGGGCATCCTTCTCACCAGACGTGATGCCGACATTCATAGAGACCTGGAATGGAAGAGAAGATTTTGGAGTCACAGCTGCTGTCTGGGTATGAGATACCAACGTACACTAGACCTGCCGTTATGAAGGATCCCAATAGAAAGACAAAAGCTGAAGGGTCCTTTCCGTGTGTCGTGAAGCACATTGAAGTGCCGCCTCAAGTGGAGCATCATCTCCATACGCTCGTCCTGCTGTCCTAATGCTTGAAGTTATAGAGAATAAAACAAAAAAAGCTTTCTCGATACCAAGACGCTTGAGGGTATGATTGGGAACATCGCCATCGCTTGAGCCGCTTCTGTACTTTCTTTTGCGAGTCGTCACCGCTGCATCGCAGAAGGATTGCTCTACTTCTGCATCATCAACTGGACGAACTCGTTGTCTGCAGGAAGTCAGTCTCTCTGCTGTTTGGGTGTGATGCGCGAAGAGCCTCTTACAGTCGATTCTTCCATCACCGTCCTGGTCGGCTTCACGAATCATCTCGTCGACCTCGTCGTCGGTCAACTTCTCGCCAATGGAGGTCATGACATGTCGCAGCTCAGCAGCGGAAATGAAGCCGTTGTTGTCGCGGTCGAAGACCTTGAAGGCTTCGCGAATCTCCTCCTCAGAGTCCGTGTCCTTCATCTTGCGTGCCATCATGGTGAGAAATTCGGGAAAGTCAATGGTGCCGTTGTTGTCGGCGTCGACTTCGTTGATCATGTCCTGCAACTCCGACTCGGAAGGGTTCTGGCCGAGGGAGCGCATGACAGTGCCGAGCTCTTTCGTGGTGATTTGTCCTACCATCGCATGTCAGAGAATCTTCGCGACTCGAAATGTTTGAGTTGATCGTACCATCGCCGTCCTTGTCCTGTGCGACATTGTCAGCCTTAGTGTTGAGAAGGGTTATGCTGGTGACTTACGAAGAGAGAAAATGCCTCCTTGAACTCGGAAACTTGCTCTTCAGTCAATGAGTCCGCCTGCGTAAGACAAGATTAGCCGCTGTCTCGCTTAGGCCACCTACTGAGCGCTGCCCGGGAGCATTTCTGAAGATTCAGAAACGTTGCCAGGCACACACGACAGGCGGGGTATCGCAATGACTCGTACCATGGTTGTTGTGTGTGAGTCCCGGTGCAGTGCCTAGTACGTGTGCTGTCGTTCAGGTCGGTGACAGGTAGAATAGGTTGGCAGGTGTGGGGTGTTAATGTTGGCTTGGGAAAGTTGGAAGATCGTGGCAGAAGCAGTGCAGTGCTCAGCTGTTTCGTATGGCGGAGGCCAACCAACCTTGACTTGAACCCAGAATTGAGGCAGTGACAAACAGGGTCCATTTCCAGCGGCCACGCCCGAGCTTCACGCCAAAGACTGGCCAGTACAAGCTACGTAACCTGCGACGCATTCCGATCCGCCTTCTTCTTCATTGTCGCGTGTATTGATTTCCTTGCGACAGTTGCTCTTCCCACGCGATACTTGGCTCTAGGAACACCAATTGCTTGGAGACATCAAGCAAGCCGACAATAGCGGCCGGAGGAAGCACGAGATGAAGGAGTAGTGGCTGTATCGACAAGGCATTCAACGCGCATGATGCTTGCGCCTCATACTCGAGATCTACAATGTCTAGTTCGACGGCCGTGTTAGGCGCCTGGCGAGATCGTACCAATCTGTAAGTCGACATTTATTCCAGCAAATCAAGCATGATATCCGTTCCTAACCGGGTCGCCCACAGCTTCATATCATATCGACAGTCGTACACACACCATCCAGCAAAACGAACACGATTCGCCGGACCCAGCCATGGCCGCTTTGCAGACAATCCGGACGAGGAGAGGGCTGGACTCATGTCCAACGTAGAAAGCGACGGAGATGCAGTTATTGAAATGGATGTATTGCCGCCGAGATGGCTAGACATTCAAGACGAGGTGTCCCAGACGCTTGTAGACATTGCTGGAAAGATGAAGAGATTGGACCAGATGCATGCGAAACACGTCCTGCCCGGCTTCGATGACGAGAGCGTGAAGGCGAAGGAGGAAAGAGAGATTGAGGGCTTGACACAGGACATCACCAAAGATTTCGTGACTTGCCAAAAGTCTATTCGCCGGATCGATCGAATGGTACAAGAGCAACAACAGCAATCAGGAGGGGTAATCTCAAGCGCAGACGCGACAATGGCCAAAAATCTAAAGATGTCTCTGGCAAGCCGTGTGGGCGAGGTCAGCACTTTGTTCCGCAAGAAGCAGTCCACGTACCTCAAAAAGATGCGCTCGCTCGGCGGGATGAGCTCTCCTTTGGACAGGTCGAGCACTCCATTGGCGCAGAATCCGTACACGGATCCTGCGATGATGGAGTCCGAGTATGATCGATCTGCTGCTCAATCAACGCTCCTCCAAACAGCTCAAGTACGACGAAGAGGCATGATGGACTCGCAGATTGATCAAAGAGAAAGAGAGATAGAAAAGATTGCGCAAGGAGTCATCGACTTGTCAAACATATTCCAGGAGATTCAGACCATGGTAATCGACCAAGGCACCATTCTTGATCGAATCGACTACAATGTGGAGCGAACAGCAGAGCATGTCAAGGAAGCCGATAAGGAGCTCAAGGTCGCTACTGGATACCAGAAGCGCAGCACGAAGCGCAAGATCATTCTACTACTGGTACTCATCGTGGTCGGCATGTTTATATTACTGCTTGTGAAGCCGAGACGAAGTGGTGAACCGGTTGAACCTAATCCAGCACGGCCAGAAGCTCCCATTCCTAATGATCCTGGAGCGCAACTACCGCCGAAAGTGAGAAGGTTGATAGATGACGGAAAGCCAGTGCTTTCGCAAGAGTTGGACGACAGACAACTGGAGTGGAAGAAGCGTCGGCGGCGAAAACATTGAGAGTGCATACATTTTAGGCTCTTATAGATACTCATTGCGATACAACTGCTTCCATTTTCAGCTTGCACATAACGAGACCGGTCGTTCATGCCATGGCCTAGACGTGGCGTGGTTGGTGAGCTACAGTACAGTAATGATGGCTCCACAACTTCCGGAAGCTGCGGCCCAACGTCACTCGCTGCGCTTTCCAATCGATCGATTGACAATTCGCGCTCAACAACGTCCTGTAGCATCTGCCATTAATCATTGAACCCGTGTAAGTTTCCTGATTCTTCTCCCCTCGCCAAAAGGAACTTCTCAGTTGCGAACACAGCAACCATGCCCAAAATTATCCTGGCAATCAATGCAGGCTCATCCTCTGTCAAAGTCTCTGTTTTCTCGTACGAGTCGGAGACAAAAGACCCCAAACAATTGGCAGACATCGAAGTCTCGGGTCTAACTGCACCACCTGCCAAGCTGAAGTATACTCGCGGCGAACTGAAAATCAAAGGCCAGGAAATCAAAGAGGTTGACTCGCAAGAATCTGCGTACGAATATATCATCAAGCACTTGACCGAAGATGAAGGCCTGCCGGAGCTGAAGCATCGACACGACGTCGAATTCGCATGCCATCGGGTGGTACATGGAGGCGATTACGACAAACCGACTCGCATTGATCGAGACACATATCAGCATCTCGAAGAGCTTTCGGACCTGGCACCTCTCCACAATGCAGGTGCACTCGCGATCGTAAAGGCTGTCCATGCAAACAACGAAAAGGTCACTAATGTTGCCTTCTTCGATTCAGCTTTCCATGCCACAATAGCAAAGGCAACTAGAACATACGCCATTGATCAGAAAGTGGCAGAGAAGAACAAATTGCGGAAATATGGTTTCCATGGCATCTCCTATCAATTTATTACACGCTCCGTTGCCGAGTATCTCAGCAAACCAAAGGACAAGCTGAATATCATCGCATTACATCTCGGATCTGGCGCCTCGGCTTGTGCTGTGAAGCATGGCCAAAGTCTAGACAATACAATGGGTCTTACGCCACTGGCTGGCCTACCGGGAGCAACTCGATCTGGCGACATAGATCCAAGCCTGATCTTTCATTTTACGCATGATGCTGGGAGACTCAGCAGCAGCAGCTCGAAGGGAATGCATATTACGCAAGCTGAGCAGATTCTGAACAAGGAGGCTGGTTGGCAATCACTCACGGGCACGACGGACTTTGGCGTGATCAGCAAGAATGCCCAAGAAGGGGATGAGACATGCAAATTGGCATTTGACTTGCTTGTGGATCGAATTCTGGCTTTTGTTGGCAGCTATTACGTGAAGCTAGGTGGGGATGTTGATGCTCTGGTTTTCGCAGGAGGAATTGGCGAGAAGGGAGCCCAGCTTCGAACAGCAGTCACCGAAGGAGTGAAGTGTCTTGGCTTTGAACTTGATGCACAGAAGAACGAGAAGCCAGAGGATGTCATTGTCGCGGACATTGGAAGCCAGAGCAGTAAGCATCGCGTGCTGGTCTGTCAGACAGACGAGCAAGTAGAGATGGCAAGACAGTGTGCGAAACAAGCGTCGAGCTTGAGGAGATGAGGAACACCATATCTGAAGATCAAAACACCCAGATAGTCAAGTTCTTGCCACTAAGATCGTAGTAACCTCGCACGGTCATCTCATCGCCGCCCAATGTAGATTCAGATGCGGGTGCGGATCTCGATGGCTTCCTCTGCTCATCGTCCAGTTTTCTACTACAAGTACCGTCAGCCATGTGGCGGTCTCGCTAACACGCAATCGCAAGCAAAAGCTACCAGAAGCACCAGAAGCACCAGAACGAGAGAACAACAACAAGCAAGAACCGTTTCTGAAAGAGCGGCAACAATCGACGAGAATGTCAGAACAACGCACAGCAACAAGCCGAGACTTCTGGAAGAAGGTTGCTCGAAAACGAGAGAATCAGCGAAAGAGACAGCAGGAAGCTCTTGATAGCCAGGCTGAAGATCGTGGTCTGGAGCCAAGTCGTCCTCATGATCCCAAGGATTATGATCGCGGTGGATATTACTATGACATCTATTAAATATGTCCAACAAGATGTGACGTGCGGCGGTTCAGTCGAGCATTTGCAGTCTTGAGCGTCGGCACCAGGATTCTTAAGTAGCTGTACAGGGTATGGCGAACTCCGATGATGGCTTTGAGTTATGCCGACCTCTGAGTTCTTCGCTCAACAGGCTGGTGGTAGCTGTAGGTAGGTAGCTGTATGTAGCTGTAGGTAGCTGTAGGTAGGCTCAGATACGCTCGGCGAAGTCATCGCGACAGACAGCTCCATCGCAAGAATTGAGCAGTTGTAGGTATGACGCAGACAGTCAGTTGGTCTCAATTGCTCCGTGCAGAGCGTGTCCGATTATCCTCGCCGTATGTTGGTGAGAAGGGAGGGAGGTTGTGGAGTGTGGAGTGAAGTGGCTGGGTAAGGCGCGAGAAGAAGGCGAGACCCTGGACCCACTTGAGAACGCGCGACGCGTGAACCAAAACCTTAACATCAACATTGAATTGGCTGCACTCTTCACGACCATTCACCTGCTTTTGGTGCCTTGTACGATACGCGCGGAGTATATGGAGTAGCCGTTTCCATATTGTGATTCAGGAATCTTCCTTACCCCACTTCTTGGAGCTTTGTCCATCTCGATAGCACCTCCCGCGCTTTATTCCCAATGGCGACCTCCCACCAACCTTTTCCTTCGCGCCCATACACCTCGGGATTGACTCGCGGCGCCGGCGCGCAGACTCCCTATGCTTCGCAAACGCCTTTCGCAGCGCCTCAGCAGAATCCCACAGGCTATGGAGCGGCCGGCCCATCGACGACACAACAGCAACGAGAAACGCAGCGCCTGGAGCGCGAAAGGCGGGAAAGAGAGGAAAGGGAAAGAAGAGAGGCCGAGGAGCGTGATGCGCTTGAGCGCATAAGCGAAGAGCAGAGAGAAGAGATCAATGAAGCGGCATGCGCCAGAAAGCATTCCCTGGGCCAGAACATGATATACTGACTGCGATCTCTAGTTCTCGCTTTTCGACCTGGACAAGGACTCTCACATCGACTACCACGAGCTGAAGGTCGCACTGAAAGCTTTAGGATTCGAGATACCCAAATCCGAGCTCTTGCAAATTCTACAACAGAATGGCGTACCCGCCTCCAGCATACACCCTCCCGGACATCCTGCACCCATCTCGCAACAGCCGACATTCTCTGGCCCTTCGCGATTATTGCTGAGCCATCAAGCATTCGTGACGATAGCGGCGCAAAAGATCCTGGATCGGGACCCGAGAGAAGAGATATTACGGGCATTTGAGCTGTTCGATGCGGACAACAAGGGTATGATACAGCTCCAGGACCTGAGAAGGGTTGCAAGGGAATTGGGAGAAGGGCTTCAGGAGGAGGAACTGCAGGCTATGATTGACGAATTCGATGTGCGAGGAGAAGGTGGGATAAGTAGAGACGAGTTTCTTGGCATTTGTCTGGGCGGCTGAATTACGATTTGATGCTCCCTGTTTTGGTTCGCTTTGAGGAAACTACAATACACCCTCTTTCAAGAACCAACGGAACACAGGGTTCCTAAACTAGCCGATCGAGTGACAGATCGATGGTGTTGGCTTTTTGGATGATCGGATTGCAGCTTTTATTGGAGCAAGGCAGCGATGGAGTCTCGGTGCTCATCAGGTGAAGGTGTTCTTCGTATTGGACACGGTTCTCATGGTGAACATGCAGAAACGGCCTCTCTCTCCGGAGCCAATTCCTTCGACTTTCCTTCTTCGCTCGTTTAGGTAGGAGAAACTCTCTGTTCGACACGCCACACCCCTGTGTCTATCCTGGAGTACAGCAGTCCTCCCTGTCTTCGCGGAAGGAGAATACCCGTAAACTTTGATCTTGTCCAATAGCAAGTCCAATATGCCTTGTTAAGCGAGAAATTGGTAATCAGCTTGCTCAAAACTCTACCCTCGGAATCGGCCAGTTTCTGTAAGCATCGTTCTCCGAAGCGACAGGAAGCATCCCGAATGCGGCCGCATACCACACCACTGCATGGTATGTATATCAAAGACTTGGCTGTTGACCGCGCCCTTAAAAACACACTGCCTCGGAATGAGCGTTGGTCAAAGTAGGACTTTTACTCCACTGCCTCCCAGCGACAACCTTAATGCCAACCAAACCTTAGAAAACACGAGCCGCTATCTGGACTTTCCGGATGCTCTGAGTCTGATGAGCCTCTGACCCTGATTGAGCGCAAGAATGCGGAAGTGAGTTCGCCAAAAAGGAGTACAGCAGTTGGTTGTGGAGATCCGCACGATAAGTCTCGCTTTCATCTCGACAATGTAGTCGAGTAAGCAAGCGAATCTTGGTCGTCTTGCGCTGCCCTTTCTTTCGCCATCTCTCTTCGCTAAGCATATCTTGGTCGCCATAATGGCTCAACTAAGTGTCAACTTCTGGCAGCTGGCTACGATTGGACTGCTTGTTGTAAGTGACGCCCAAGAGCTTTTCCTACTCGTTGGGAACTAACACTTACCTCAGCTCGTTGGCTATTACATTAGTCTTGGCATCTACAATCTCTTCTTCCACCCTTTGGCCAAATACCCAGGACCCAAGCTAGCCGCACTCTCCGAGGTATTGTCTGGCGTAGTGCTGCTTGAAGTGGCGAAGCTAATGCTCAGCGTGCCACTAGGCGTGGTTCGTCAAATCCTCGTTGAGCGGTCATCTTCCCTATATCTTCACAGAAATACACAAGCAATATGGTAACAACAGCCTTGCAATTCCTGCCACTGAATTCGACTCACGGCTCCATCAGGCGACATCGTCCGCATCTCTCCCAACGAGCTTTCCTTCGCTCGACCTGAAGCCGTGAAAGACATCTACTATCACCCGACCAAAAGCAAGCCCGGCATGCCCAAATCCCTCTCCTACGCTCGTCCTGACACACCACACCTCTTTTCCACGCGCGACATAGCCGAGCACCAGAAACAGAAGGCAGCCTTCACCCACGCCTTCTCGCCTCGAGCCTTGAAGGAACAAGAACCGATCGTCCTCCAATATACCGACGCTTGGATCTCCATGCTAGCCCGCGAAGGCACTGGACCTCATGGAATTGACATCGTAGAAGCGTGGAATTGGTTGACCTTTGACATAATCGGCGACTTGACGTTTGGAGCCTCTTTTGACTGCGTGAAAACAGCCACCACGCATCCTTGGATTGATATACTGTTCGGGTCCTTGACGTTCGGGATCATGTATGACATGATTCGAAGGATACCGATTCTCAAATTTGGTCTACCATTCGTCGTACCGATTAAGAAGTTGGAGCAGAATCGGGTTGAGCTCCGAAAGTATACGTGTGAAAGAGTCGCAGCTCGAGTTGAGAAGGGGACGAAGAGAGATACTGAAGATTTCTTTTCTGATATTCTCCGGAAAGGACAATATACGGAAGAAGGGCTTGTCTCGCAGGCCATCATGCTGATTGTTGCTGGGTCCGAGACTTCGGCATCAGCACTGTCCGGCGCCACGTTCTATCTCTCCCATTATCCAGAAGCGTTGAAGAGGCTCCAGGATGAGGTACGAGGTGCTTTTACTTCTTCGGACCAGATCGTGGGCGATTCGACTACCCCGGCCAAATTACCTTTCCTGCATGGCTGCATTGAGGAAGCTTTGAGACTCTTCCCTCCAGCTCCGTCACATGCGTTGAGAGTCTCGCCAGGCGCTACAGTCGATGGCCAATATATCCCAGCTGGTGTATGTGTGACGTCGCAGAACTATCCGATGGCGCGTGACTCCAGGTATTTCAATGTTCCGGCAGAATACCATCCCGAGAGATGGCTGAAGGGCGATGATTGCCCTCCCGAGTTCAGAGATGACAACAAGGCAGCATCGAATCGTGAGTCTATCCATTTTCACCATGCGCTGAGAAGGCGGCACTGACATAGCGCAGCATTCTCGATTGGCCCGCGCTCTTGCATCGGCATCAATCTAGCATACCTTGAGATGCGGATAGCATTAGCAAAGTTTGTGTGGCATTTTGATTGGGAACTGCTGCCAGAAAGCAAGGAATGGACAAAGGGCATGAAGACATACTTCATTTGGAAGAAGCCGCCAATGATGGTCAGATTGAAATTGAGGGAAGGAGTGAAGGTCTAGGTGTGCTGTAGAGCATTGGTTTTTGATAATCGCCTTCACTATGCTATCACGTGTAGTCTACGCAATTCAGGGCTTTTTGCGGGAGGTTTTGCGAGGTTCGAGCGTGACGAGCTGCTGCATTCGCGTCTACGTAACCTGCATCTAGCGTGGCTGGTACCGGAAGCCCGGATGGTCGATTGCATGCTGGCGCTTCCCTTCAACAGCTCTCTTTTTGTACGCGATCACGTCGCTCCGCGAAAAGCACCTGGCGTGAGACTCTCAAAAGGACGTCGGCGACATAGAAGGCCGCTGCAGCATTGAGTCGCTGTCGGAGATCTCGTTCGAGCTCGAGTACGGCATCGCTAGATCGTGAATGCCCAGATCGTGAATGCCCAGATCGTGAATGCCCTGTTTGGGCCTGAGACCATCCGTGTACTCTGTCGATGCGTGGATGCAGCGGCAATGGCGCTCGGCGTGGTTGCAGAGGCTGAGCTTCCGGCGTCCAGGGTGACATGACACTAGAGCTTCCCTGCGCTCGCCGCTCATCGAGCGAGGAGCTTCGCATTACACCGCCTCCCGGACGGTGCTGACTCCTATACAAACAGCTCACAGTGCTCGCGACTAGGATTTCCTGCTGCTAGTCAGTATGATTCTTGATGGAGCTCATGACTGAAAGTGATGTGTGTTGTACGATCAGCGTCAAAGGCCCTGTCAGGGGCCATCTCATCAACGCAGCCTTTGGCTGCTATGTCGACCGTCGTGAGATATGAAATAGAATCATCATGGAGTAGGAAGTGCAGCAAAGGGGATATGGAGCTCACCTTCCAAAGAATCGCTGACTTTCGCGCTCTCACTTCGTCGAGTTGACGCATGAGGGAAGTACTGGAGAAAACGTCAGTAGCTGCGAGGAGACAGGTTGACAGAGTCACTGCGCAATTTGCCGCATGCAAGGTATCAGGATCGCAACGTTCTCGTCTGTGCTACCTGTCACAGCAGCTCGGACATATGCTTGTCTTTTGTTGTTTTGAATCATCATTTGAGTCGGAGTTGGGGGGAATACCGGGTAGTCTTACCACCATGAATTGCGGCATAGTGTCTCTCTGAAACCCGGTATCTCTGTCGACGCACTGGCTGTATCTTGGTAAGCATAGTTCGCTAGCGACATCTGGAAGGGCTGATTGCGGAGAAGTGCATGATCAGGTTTGCATGAATGGTAAAAGAAAGGTTGTGTCTGCATCGGCAATGCCGGATCAGACTCGTCATCAAGAGCTCATCAGAGCACACGCAGCGAGTTTGACAGGTGCACAAACGTACCGAGGGATTGGAGTCATGGATGACACGACTTCGATGAACGACTTCATGCCGACGCTGCGTTGATGAACGCAATGAAATCTGCTTCAAGCTGCTCTTGGCGACCTTGCTCAGCGAAATGGTCCAAAAGCCTTCGGATGGCACAGTCGTGGAGTGGCAATTGGAGTTACGGCGATGACGACTCCAGATTGACGTGGCTCTTGGTATCTAAGTCACATTAGCTGAGCTCAGAGGCACTGTTGATAGAATTTGCGAAGTAAGTGGCGTAGATCAGTGGACGAGGTTTTCTAGGCCTGTCACAGATTGGCATATCGGCTCATGTGATGTTATCGGAGCCCAGTGCCGCTTCATCAGATGATAGTGGAGATGGAGAGGTGATTTCAATTACTCACCGTTGTCCGGCCACAAGGTCAGATTTCGCCCTCTTGCGCTGCTTCTTCTCGGGCTCCGCTACAGCCGGAGATCTTGTTTGCTGCAGCGTGCTCATGATTTGACTGGCCATGCCCTCGCTACAGCCGAACTGGTGACAGCCATGCCAGGTGCTGCATTTGGCACAGGGCGCCTTCCTGATATGCCCTCGCTGCGAGTCTCGAGGTAGGTTCGAAACTTATCTGACATTGCGTCGATAGCCACGTCGGCGGAAGTGGCTCCGATTGTTTGGGTATGGTGAAAGGGTGATAACAAAAGGGATGTGCGAATGCGGTATGTGCGAGGTCGAAAGGAGTTTCGTGGTCTCAGTCACGAGGTCGACAAAGCTTGCGCAATGCTTCATTCCTGTCAGCTGTCAGCATTCCGTTCGGCAAGAGCGTCCAAGCTAAAGCAGAAGTGATCCCAAAGATCAGATATAATGAGCCAATGTTCTCGCCAGCGGTGTGAGTAGCACCTCGGCCGGTAATTCCAATTTTTTGCTTAAATCATCATTTCAGGGTCGGAGTTGGGATAGCCCTGCTTACCTGGTCTGTACCATCCACAGTCACTCCCAAATGCTGCGAGGCAGCCGGCAATCGCTTGCTGCTGCAGGTTCTGGGAGTTGAACAGCGCCAGCTGGTCGAAGGGTAGGTAGAATCGATCATTCGAGGACAAAGACGCGAGCTCGGCGGCGCCTATGAAGAATGATTAGCATTTGGATGCTGACCAACTATTCAACGTATAGTTGTGGTCGAAAGTCAATCAGACTGACGTAGCAATGCAGTTTCAGTCCTCCTTGGAGGTCAAAGACTCTAGTTTGCGGTTTTGCCATTTCATCAGGACATTTAGTGGGAAGTGTGCGGTGACCTACCGAGACGCGTGTGCAGGCTCACTTCACCATGTTGGAGATGCACAGCAACGATTCAAGGACTGGTGTTGGTGCGGACCAGTGTTGTTGTTCTTCGCGTGATGAGAAGTTGAAGAGCGTGTGCAATTTTGAACTTTGAGAAGACGAAGCGATGAAGCTTGGATCATGTCGGCCCGCACTGCCGCTTGCCGAGAAAGTGAGGCCTGAGGTTGAACATGTCTCCATCGGAACAATCTAAATTGCTGCTTTGGAAGACTCAGATATTCGGTGGACATCGCCACATTCGAGATGCGGTGGCTTTCGATGCCTCAGCGATGGGCACCGCTGCAGGACGATATTGTGAGACGGTGGGCTGGACAAGCATCGATGGCTTTTTACCGAGTGTTACCAAGGCTAGATCTCCAAATGGCAGCGGCACCATCAAGATCACGAAGGTCTCTGCTATTCCTAAGCTAGCATTTGATTTCGAAGTCATTCAACAAAAGTCGTCAGATTTGACGTGGACTCGCCAGTATTTGGAGTCTGGACTTTAATCGTCCCACTTTCGAGAAACATACAGCGTCCTTGCAGCAAGGGTTCAACACTTCCTATCTATACCTGGCTCACGACGACAGTTTTTCCAGCAGTCGTCTATGCGCAAGGTCGCAACACATCTGCTCATCCGCGAATCATTATGACCAACACAGGTGGTTTCCGTTATGACATTCTGAAGGGACGGTTCACCCTTGACAATGCGTACTAGTCCAACCCATACACGAATCTGTGGCAATATATGACAGCACCATGGGGAGTTGCCAAGAACATCCTGGCCAACATGCAGGTCGATCCTGTCTACAAGCGTCAGTCAAACAATGATCGCAATGTCTACAATTATTCAACTGGACTCTGGACCACTCCTGGATACTACACAACTGATGACTTCGGCAGCGATGGAGACAATACCATCCATTTCAACCGGGGCTATTATAACACTCCACATTACGTGGCCGCAAATGTCTCAACAAGCAACATCACCGACGATAGCACTCTGGTAGATGTCTATGTGACGAGCTTCTTTGCCGCTGCGACAGCGAAATACTTGACAGGGAACACTACAGGATGGGTGAACGTTACGAACAGCACGGGCGGAGGCTTCACGTCTTTCGACACAGTGCCTAGATATGCCCAGTTATTTTGGAACAAGGATTGTTGAGGAGTTATACCTTCTGGTCAGCGCCTGAAGAATCGATCGCGATCGTCATCTCCGCGTTAATAGGAGCACCAAGCTCACAGTGTTGTAGACAGTAGCAATATAGCCGCATTGAATTATGAAACACCGGGTACACGAGGCCCGCAGAGACCTGCGGCAAGCCCAGAGACTCTCAATCGATGTGTGTTGTTCCGTCTAAGAAGGTTCCTCACCGGCTTCCCAACGCCTCGCAACAGCCTCCTCCTGGATTCTCTTCCACGCCTCATAACTTATCCCTTTCCTCAACCTACGCACCTCCTGCTTGACGATGATAGTCTTCTGAACCATTTCAATCACCAGAGCCTTTGCCTGAGAATATTTCACCGGATTATCTCCTCGACCGTTGATCAAGTCATCGTGATTCTCTATCTCCACCTCCTGCCCTTCACGCTGCAGCTCAGCGACGACAGCATCTCTGAGAAGAACACCATCCTCGAGAAAATCTTGTGCATATTCTGCGGCTTTGGGAAGCATGAGATCGTGGACGTCTTTGAGTTCCAGGTATTCTGCGTCCATTATATCGATTGCTTCGTCGATTTTGGTCTTTAATTCTTCCCAAGCTTGGATCCGAGCTGGATGCTGCCACCATAATTGAACGATGTCTTGCGCTGGTTGCACGGGCTTCGCATGATTGGTGGGCTTGTTTTTTTGTACGCCTTTTTTCTTCCTATCAGTCGGCGCCATGAAATCGATGCTGCGTTCGGGGAGAGTTCCAAGACATGTGTAAAACTCATATATTGACAATGAAGTTTGCTGCCCACGAGTTTACCTTGTTCTGTTAAGACACATGTGGCATAATAGAATATCGGGTGCTTCGAGAAACAGTATATCCCTGAGATGCCGCGAAATTTCGTTGTCCATTGCAGCTCGTAACGTAACCCAGGTCTCACGTACTCCATCTAATGCCTAGCAGAAGGTATCTCGCTCTTAATCCTCAAACTCCACAAACGCCCTCATCCCTCATGATATTCCCATTCCCCTCATCTCGCCTTGTTGAAGTTCGCCTTCCTGACAGCAAATGGACTCTCCTCCGCCGTCTTCATCGGATCAAAGCTGAATAGTGTGCTGAAATAAAGTCCCAAAAACCTCACAATCATAGCAGGGACGCCTCTTCCTTGCGCGAATTGTCCAGGCGCAGTCAACATCTCCGCAACATTCGGAATCGCTGGCATCGCAGGTCCTGATCCTCCACCCAAAGGTCTGCCACTGCTCTCGCCTCCCAACTTCTGTCCCGAACCAGAGAAAGCGGCGCTTTGCTTCGCAGGACCTTTGGCCGCATCGGCAGCGGCGGAAAGGACGGCGGATCGAAGGGCAGTAGGATTGGCGCCGCGAATGGTTTCGGTGACTTTGGATCCTTTTAGGACGAGGAAGGTTGGCATCCTGATGTGCGTGTTAGCCTCGCCCTCCTTCGACTCGTGTATGCGCGACTTACGCAGAAATGCCATAGATGCCAGCAACATCTCTCTGGTTGTCCACGTTGACCTTGCAGAAGACTATGCGACCGGGTTTCGACTCCTGCGCGGCGAGCTGCTCGAAGACTGGCGAGATCACTTTGCATGGGCCGCACCAATCGGCATAGAAGTCCACAATCGTGTATGTCGCGGATGCAGTAGTCTGCTTGAAATGCCCTATCGAGCTGATGCTGATTACTTTGGAGCTCATCGTGGCTGGAGGTATGCGATACGCTTTGTCGTGGTGGTAAATTTGTGGAAACAAGCCGAAGCTGAGAGAGGTGGCATGACAGTGCAAAGCTTGGACCAAGAGTTTGGAGGGTCTGGATCTTTCACATGCTCTTCAATCTTGGCTGACTACCTATTAATGTCTTTCGTTTCGCATTGGAAATTCGTAACTGCTGTAATGATCTACCTTTTTACAATGCTTTCTTAACTTTCGCACACCAATGCTGTTCAAAAATGCTTCCTCGCCACCACTCATAATGTTCCCGAAATCCATTGATTGAGAGTTTGTCCAGTCGTGTATATCATGGCGACAACACCCAAAGTCATCAACGCAATATCGTATATTTTCTCTCCCTTCGTTTCCGCCATTCCTTTGTAATGTAGAAGCGGTGGATAAATGTAGACCAATGGCACACAAGCAAAGGCTCCGATCAGCGCCACGAACTTGTCCAGGTCGGATGCGCCGACAATGGCAACAACGCCGCAGAAGATCATAGCTGCGACTCGAACTCCATTCTTCTGCCACTTGACACTCTTGCTCTTCTTACCGCTGGCTTTATCACCGAACAAAGATTGCTCGATGATACGAACAGCAGGAAAGAGTTGAACCGGCTCACCAACCAGGACCGCCATTGAGTAGAGGAACTGCACTGCGTTGACCAGCTTGCTATCCTGCGGGAAATTTGATATGATCTGAATCTTTGTCTCGTCACCGAAAGTAGCATAGCACAAGGCGCCTACCGACGTGAAGATGCATGTGATGATAAACATGATTGCGTAAAGCAGATAAGGGAACTTCTCCGGCTCCTTCATTGACGACTGGATGGGTAAGATGAGACCAATGCCCTCAAATGTGAAGATAGCTGAGCCTATTGTGAGCGTGAAGGCCGAAGGGTTAAAGAGCTTCATGGTGGGTGCTGCTCCATATGAGCCGAGAGAGCTGATATCGTACCACCAGATGTAGACCAGGCCGATGAGGATGAAGACGTCGGCCAAAATGGCTGCGGGGCCAAGCTTTCCGATGTTGCGGATGAGTGCCAGCGGCAACAAGAGGACGAACTGTATAGCAATGAGCGAGTCAGTCCTGAAAGGCTGTGGCTTCTCGATGGGGACGACGGCATTGAGGAATGAAAGCAAATTCTCCGCGGTGAAGATTAGACCTGCACAGACGAAGCCCAGTTGGGAGAGGGTGATGGATCCCAAGATGAGTCCTCGGAACTTGTGGCCAAAAATTGAAGAGCCCAGCTCACCGTACCCACCTCCGCCATACTTTTGTCGGCATTGCAGGAGGAGGCGGAAGCAGAGAGTCGTTATGATGGAAGTCCCAATGAGGACACATGAGGAGAACAGAATCCCGCCATTCCTGAAGGCTTTTGGCAAGAACATGATTCCGGTACCCACGAAGGCCTTAAGCAAGGTAAAGAAAGTCTTAGTCGTTCCAGCGTTGCCATCTCGCTTGATGCGCTTAGAACTCTTGCGTCGTCCAAGAAGTGGTCGTCTTTCGTTGTTCTCCTCCGCATCGCGCTCTCCCTCCTCAATTGCGGATTCTGTTTCATCATCGGAGTCGGTGTCTTCGAGGTCCTCGCCAGCAAAACTCCCATATAATTCGAGAAAAGAGACAAAGTTCCTGGTGAGAGGGGTCGCAACGGTACTAAGTCGTCTTTGCACTTTATGCCTTTGGACGTACTGCCTGCGGAACCCACCAGGTTCCAACTGATCGCTAACCGGTGGCTCATCTCGTGGTATCAGTCGTGGGCTTGCCGGATGGGAAAATGTGTTGGACCGCCTGAGCGTGCTTTGATCTAGCTGGGCACGTGCTTTGATTTTGAAAATGTCGCGGTGCATGTCGCCACCTTGGAGTTTCAGGCTGGATTCTGGTTCCGGTGAAGCGATTGGAAAGTCCTCGACTTCCTCGGTGGCGCCATCGCCATCGCCATACACCACAGCCTCAGGTTCAGCAGAGTATCCTTCCGGGAGATGTCTATCGACAATGTCTGCCTGTCGCCGGGACTGCTCCGAATTCGGCGTATCAACGTAGTCGGCCCTGTCAGACATGGTTCTCGAATCGAAATTCTCAGGCAATTGGATCGTTCCTCTGAGCAGCTATACTCTCGAACAAGATGTCATAAAGATCTGAGGCGAGCAGAAACAGGAAAGCGAAGGTCTTGCATTACCACATGGCGTCCACAGCGATGTTTGCGTGATGATGATGAAGTTGTTGCTGGGATTGGAACTTCTAAGCTTCCAGGTTGCTTCGAAGATTGCTGCAGGGAAACAGAAGTCGTGGAGGTGGCCAAGTGGCGCGTGCGGCAGTCCCATGATTTGAAGTGCTGGGGCGGAGAAAGCTTAGCTTATCACGGCTACCAAGCACCTCCACCGACGTCTTGTCGCTGTCACGATCGACTATTTCGACGGATACAGATGTCGATAAAATAACAAAGGGCAGCGCAGTAGCAGTTCGAACGCCGAAGGATACTACGTAAGTTATCCAGCAACGCAGGAAGCAATGTCTATATCACATGGAAGGATGGCTCGCAAGTACATACAGTACTTGTCGCCAGAGCTACGTGAACCATTGCCATAATCACAGTGCGCCGAGCCTTCTCTTCTTCATACTGTAGGTCTTCCACGACGTACGATACCTTGCTTCTGGCAAGTGCATGGCCTTCATGAAGTTCATGCCAACGACTTTATGTCCCTTTTCTCAGATCCGACGCTTCTCACACCTCTTCAGGCTGGGTACTCTGCAGCCAGCAATACTTTCGATAAATGATCGGGTCTAACTCCTGAGCCGACTCTTTCTTACCGCTCGAGCAGTGCATGCCCTTTGGCAGACAAGATGCTGCTCTCGACATCGTTCTTAGCGTGTGATGCTCCCATGCTCAGGAGCGCTTTTCGCGTTTCCGGAGCGCCGCCCGTTTGTCCGGAGCCATGTATGTTGCACGACGCGGTCACAGGATTCGATCATGGAATAGTGCTCCTTTCTCCCATTGGTATTCCAGTAGTGGTGAGTATATTGAATAGCTTCGGAGGCAAGGATACTGCGGTGCGGGACTCTTTGACACGCCAATCCAGAATGGGAAGGATGACGTCGGGCATTTCGCGTCGACGCGACCTCTCCAAGGGCGTACCATCGTCTCTAAGAACGCAGCATCACGACACGGCACACGTTATGATTCTTGGAGTCGGCAAACAATTTGGCTCGGATTAGGACATGCGATAACAATGCTTTGAGCGACGGCCATGTCGTCGCAGAACGCCTTCTTCTCGTCCTCGCCCGTCTCCCCCAACGCGAGGCGCGCCAGGCGTTCGAAATACACTTGGAAACACCTTCATACCCTTGCCCATTCCGCCACGAATTGTCCATTGCGCGTGATTGCGCATATCGATCTCGATGCATTCTACGCCCAATGCGAGATGGTGCGGCTGGACGTGGACCCCGACCAACCTCTGGCAGTGCAGCAGTGGCAGGGTCTGATTGCAATCAACTATCCGGCAAGAGCGTATGGATTGAATCGACATGTCACCGTCACCGAAGCAAAGGAGAAGTGTCCAGATATCATATGTCAACATGTTGCGACATGGAAAGAGGGTGATACAAAGTGGAGCTACTCTGACGATGCCTTCAAGGAGATTGCTACCAGAAAGGTTTCGCTCGATCCTTATCGCATCGAGAGTCGCAAGATCTTAGCGACCATTAAGGAGTCTCTCCCAGCGGACAAGCAAAAGGTGGAGAAAGCGAGTATAGACGAGGTGTTTCTCGACCTCTCAGCACATGTGCACAGCCTTCTCTTGCAACGATACCCTCAATTGGACGCTCCGCCGCCTTATGATGACCCTACTGAGCCGCTTCCGAAACCTCCAACTACTGCTCTGGACTGGAAAGCTGATGCATTGGTCGACTTGGACAACACACACAACGAAGAGGACGACCCGGATTGGGATGATGTTGTTATGCTGATTGCTTCCGAGATTGTTCGGGATGTAAGAGCTCAGATCTTTAGGAAGCTCAAGTATACTTGCTCGGCAGGCATCAGCAGAAACAAAATGCTGGCCAAGCTCGGGTCGGGGTACAAGAAGCCCAACTCGCAGACCGTCATCCGCAACCGGGCGATACAACACTTTCTATCAGGATTCAAATTCACCAAGATCCGCAACAGGTGGCAAGTTTGGCGATGAAGTTGTAGCTGCTTTTAACACTGACTCTGTCTCTGAACTTCTTGCCGTGTCTATCGAGCAATTGAAAAAGCAGCTTGGCGATGGGTCTGGTTCCTGGTTGTACAATGTCATCCGCGGCGAAGACGATAGCGAGGTGAATCCAAGGACGCAGATAAAGTCGATGCTGTCTGCAAAGTCGTTTCGCCCGTCTATCAATAGCTTCGAAGTGGCTTGCAAATGGCTTCGAATCTTTGTGGCAGACATCTTTGGTCGCCTCGTGGAGGAAGGCGTGCTGGAGAACAAGCGACGGCCAAAGACCATCAATATTCATCATCGACAGGGAGCGCAGACACGGAGTAAGCAGGCTCCCATACCACTAGGCAAGACCGTCACAGAAGATGCACTTTTCGATCTCGCGAAGAACCTCATGGCACAAGTCGTGGTTGACGGCCGAGCGTGGCCTTGTGCGAACTTGTCGCTTTCTGTAGGTGGCTTCGAAGACGGTGTGACTGGCAATATGGGAATCAACACATTCCTCGTGCGAGGCGACGAGGCCAAAGCCATGAATGCAGCAAACCTTGAGCGCCAGGACTCGACAGAGTATCGGCGTGGTGGCAAGAGACGTAGAATCAAGGTCGGAGGCATCCCCACCTTTTTCCAGCACAAGTACAACAGCACCGGCAGCGATCGTGACGAAGATGGCGGAAATGCGACGCCTGTATCTGACCACGATCGTGCAGAGCATGAATTAGACGAAGGTGCTTCTCACGCAGAACGTGGCCATCATCACAGCTCTTCGAAATTGCCGCGTTCAGCCCAGACTGCGTCTACAGAACAGCCGTGGCCCGATCACGACCATACAAAAGCGTATCTTGCGCCTCCGTTCATGTATCAGACACCAAAGCCACCAGATCCATCTCAGCAAACCTCAATCGATGACTATTTCTGCGAGCGCTGCAAGAAGCACATGCACGTGGACCAACGTGCAGAGCACGAGGACTATCACTTTGCACAAGACCTACAAAACGAACAGAGTCCTCCTCGACCGCCACCGAAACCAGTGCCGTTAGCGAATCCGGCATCGTCGTCAAAGCCTAAAGGCCGAGGAAGACCGGCTGGTGGAAATCTTGGGCCGGAGAAAGGACAGAAGAAGCTGGCTTTTGGATAGCAGCAATCCTTTGACTGCATATAGACGTTTACAGGAAGATTATGAATTTGTGATGAGGTAGGTTGCATTGCGCACGCTTTTCATTGAACTACTGCTACGTCCACGTGGCTCCAATAATCAGCCCTGTATCAGATCTACGACTTGAGAAGAAGATCACTTCGCCCAGTGCATGCTGGACCACATGCACTTCGCTGTTAATGTGGCTGCTGTTCTGGTGCAGAGACCGGGTTATTATATTCCTGCGATCCTGCCAGCAGTTATACAAGCACGCTTGAATTCATAGTGCCTGCAAAACCCTCCGCATTTTTCACTCACAACCCATCCGTCGTCCAATACCGCCCCCTCATAGAAACGCAATTTTTTTTCCTGGCGATCACTTTCCGGCCGCGTTTACCGCGATGAAACCAACCAGACGTCTGATTTGCGCAGACAGGTGAGGCATGGCAATGTTTGTTGAAAAGCGACAGCTTCCACGGCAAAGGTGACTTCTCCAGCGTCGAATCAGATGGCCAGTGGCCTGAAACACGATCAGAACATGAAGAAGCTTCACATGAGGATCAACCCAGGTGCTGTTTACCCCGTCCCAAACTAAGTCTCCCAGGCACGGTTCTCTCATAACGAATCGGAAGCTGGGCGATTGAGAAAGGACCTCCCGTCGCGATGGTCGTTTCAGGCGGAGTCAATTCGCCCTCGATGTTTTCCGATATCCTCTTGGCAACGATGTCGGGAGTGGCACCCTCACAAGACCACAGATAGACCATCTTTGTGTATGCTGCTTCGGTCGTCATGTCGTGTCCCAGTTGGATTCCTGCCTCGACGAGCTTCCTCGCCGGCTCGTACGAGTCGCTTACACTTCCGTGTAGGCATTGCGTGATGTTGACAATCACCACGCCTCGCTGCACGGCTTTTTGAAGCGAAGGAATGATGTTGAGGGGCATGTTGCCGGCGCCGAAAGTTTCCAGTACCACGCCTTGGATTTGGGGAGGCGAGAGAATGGCATCGACCACTTCGGATGTGATTCCAGGATATGTCTTGAGCACGACGACTTTGCTAGAGTCCATGTCTGGGACGTTCTTGCTAGCGGCTGGTGCGGCTGTGTCTTCGGGGTGGAGTAAGTTGTCCCAGTGAACTACGATTCCAGTCTCGGAAACGGTGGCAAGCGGACCAGCGTTGGGACTCTCGAAGCCCGAATAACTCGACGCAGAGATCTTCGTGATTCTTGTACCGCGAAGCAGCTGATGGCCAAAGAAAACGCAGACTTCTGGGATTCGCAGGTGCGATGCTAGGACAATGCTTCCGAGCAGATTGTCCGAACCATCGCTGTCGGCGAAGAACATGCTTCGTTGTGCGCCGGTCAGCACCACTGTCTTCTGCAAATTTGGCATCAGCATAAAGGACAATGCTGCCGAGGTGTAGCCCAAAGTATCAGTTCCATGACAGATGACGAAAGCATCGAAGTTGGCTTCATTTGATCGTATAGTCTGTGCAAGCTGGTTCCAGGTAGGCGCATGAGCCGTGGAGCTGTCCAGTAACGGATCGAATTCCAGAACGGTACATTTGACATTCGCTCCACTTCGGTCTCGCGGCAGACGAAGCGATGGAGCTTCACGTGAGACACCATGTTCGTCGGTGATCTTCGTCGTCGGCACGGGTGTCCCATCATTGTACGTGGGATTCGGCCTCAAACATTCATCCAGAAAGAGCTTCGAAGTTGCCAATCCAGATGGCGTGTCCTGCATACAAATTGTGCCTCCGGCCACGATGAGCAGTATTGAAGGTTCGGGGGTGTTGTCGTCCTGGGGAGGCGTAGTGGCTCCATGGTTCATATATGATCGTCGGTTGGTAGATACGAAGGAAAGGAGGCGATAAATTCCGGAGGCCATTTTGAAGATTTCAAGTCAGTCGTGATCCGGAGACTGCGATGCTCACGCCGCTGGGTGGAATTCTTTTTGCGGCCGTAACCTCACAGCGCTACTTGCTGTCGACGGAATGGGAGGTTCCAGCGAGGTGTTGGTCGAACTCGTTGCTGTTCGGATGTGTTGGTCGTGTCTCTCTGGTATTGAAAAATCTTTCGTGATGCTATACTGGAGAAGAACTAGAGATGCAAAAATTTTGAAGTGAGAAAGGAACGTGAATAAAGAACGTCGGAATCATGGTGCTTATCAGCGCTGTGCCAAAGAAAGCAGAGGAAAAATCTTTTCTGTCCTGTCCTCACCAACTCACCGTCTGTCTCCATCTCTGCAATGCGGAGGCCCGTCACACTAGAACTATCGACGGCATTCCCTACGTGCCATGGTGATCCCGAAGAGTAAGTGTATCCCTAGTCGTGTTGCGCTATCAGAAAAAGTTACCCCTTCAAAATTGCGATTGGAGGAAGCTGAAGTACGTGCAGATAAAGAAGTGTGGAAGAGTGACGAAGAAACGCGGTGAGCGGGACGGCCACGTTCCGGCAAATCCCGACGTGAGCACCACATGAAGACATCAGAAGACCAAGAGACATGCATCTGTATAGTAAGTAATAAGAAGTGTATACGTATACTCAAGAGTGAGAACACGCTAAATCCACAATCACGCTTGCTAACCAGAGAATGCCCTGAAAAACAGCGCCCCACAATGCCGCTCCATGCTTGTTTGTTGTCGTAAAGTCATAGGCCTGCTGAGTAGTCCGTTGTTTTGCCCGTCTCTATCCTTCGTTCCCTTCGTTCCCTTCGTTCCCAGGTCGTCGCTATGGTATCTGAAGTTCCAAAAGCGTATGCTGTCCTATCCGCACCTTTGCAAGAAGACCACTCCAAGCTTCACTATGCATCTCAATCCCCGCAACCGTCGCTGCGACGATGTCTCTAACGGTATCGGCGTCCATCACGGTCGTAGATATACTCGCGTTCGTAAATGCGTTCGTCATATTTAGATCTTGGCGGCGCCGGGATAGGCGGTGGAGGTGGCAGCATCTTTGGCAAACGCTCCGACTCTTCCCGCTCCCATTGTATTTCGCGTATGCGATCGCGACGCTCTTTCTTGATCTCCTCGGTGATCTCAACCAGACGTAGAACGTCCTCCTGTAGAATGATTAGCCAACCCGCACAGACATATGTCTCAGCGAAACTCACGTATTTGAGATATTCCATGACATAGAAATGCTCATCCGTCTCTTCCCACTCGTAGCCCATCTCCTCGATAGCTTCCTTGATAACCAAGTCTTTCGTGACCTCGGTCCACATCTTATTGCGCGGACGTGACCGGCCGCCGCCTCCGGAACGATGTTCGTGAGTAATCTTAATTTCCTCCTTCGTCTCCGTGCGTTCTCGTGGCGGTGCGGGGGCTGGGGGAGGAAGAGCTTGTGGCGAAGAATACCCATTGCCGAAGTCTGATTCGTAGACACGATCGCCTGAGATGAATTTGCCTCGCCGCTCGCCATTGTAGTGTTGCCAGGTGATCTCCTGGGCACCGCCTCCAATTCCATCCATTCGCACGCGATTGGTACCTGGAGGTACGTCGACAAGACCCCAGTCACGGGTTGCGCCGTGGAGCGCCTCACCAGGGTAGGCTCGAGAAGCAATTTTGCGGTTGTAGTACTCTGCCTCAGCCTCCATCTCGTCGTCGTACCGTCTACTCACCGTGCGGGCCGGTGAGGGAGAACGCCTGCGAGTGCTCAGACTGACCGATCGCTTACGATCAATGCTGATGGACCTCCGTCGCGAGACCTGGCGATCATCTCGGTCCCACGAGTCTCTTTCGAAAGTTATATCTTCTTCGTACGCCTTTCCATTCCGCGTGCCTTTGCGACGAATCTCAATTTCCAGGTTGTCTTCTCGGCTCTCTTTGACGGGTGGAGGGCTTGGCGGAGCAGGTGCTGGTGGTGGGGTTGGTGAGCGCGCCCGCTCTACACCATGATCAATGTGTCTATGATGTGTAATGACCTCTTGAATGATTGGTGGCCGATAGATTGGCTCCGGTGGTGGAGGTGGTGGAGGCTCTGGGGTTGGCTCGCGAGGAGGCTCTGGCTCAGGCGAAGGAGATCTCTCTTTCTGTCGGCGAATAATGATTTCTTCTTTCTCATAATCTCGTGGTGGAGGAGTCCTGGGTCTGCGCACGATCCATTCTTCTTCCTTTTTCGCGACCAGTGCTCCACGGCTCATGGAACGCTGGCGAGGTGGCGGTGCACTGCGTTCCTCTCGAATGTCGATTTCTTCCCTAAAGACTTCACGACCGCGGGTAGGAGGTGATCGAATGCGTTCGCGAAAGACAATCTCTTCCCTATCGACCTCACTGCGAGGTGGTGGAGGAGCTGGCGATCGGCGTTCTCGAATCTCGATCTCTTCTCGTTCCACACGAGAGCGGGCCGGTGCTGCGCTGCGATCGCGCTCACGAATATCTATTTCGGTCTTCTCTACCAGCGTGCGTGGTGGACTCGGCCGATCACCCGCGCCTCTTCGGAAGCGGATCTCCTCAACAGGAGGCTCGCTGCGAGGTGGTGGAGGTCGGGTTTCCCTTTCATTCCGAGTAATGCTGATATCGATTTTCTCCTCTGACCGCTCCTCACGAGGGGGAGGTGGTCGCGAACGGGTTCGCTCTCGGTAGATGACTTCCTCGTCTAGCTCGCTCCGCCTGGAAGAAGGGTATGGCGGAGCACGATCAGAGGTCTCGCGTTCGCGGAAGACGACTTTATCTTCCTCCACTCTCTCCGGTGGTGCACGCGACCTGACAGTCTCGACGCTTCTTCGCCTGCGTGGGGTGGCACTGGTGTAGAGCTGGTCGTCGCGCTCCTCGCGCAGCACCAATTGGCCCGCAGTGCTGGACTTGCCATAGTCTTCTCGCAGAAAATCAGGCTGGCGTGGTCCGCGGCGGCTGGCAACTTCTGAGTCCCTCTCCTTGAGGATCGTCTCGGCTCGGCGGGGCTCGCGGTGTTCGGTGCGGGTGATATCAACTTCTAGGTCGTCATAATCTCGGTCTCTGCGTGGTCGTCGGTAAAAGTCACTTTCTCGCTCCTCATATCGGTCGGCAACCGGATAGTCGCGGGGGTGTCGAGACATTGTGAGTCGAGCGTGGTGGTGATGAATAATGCAGGAGTGAATGGGTCGGCTGCGGTGTGCATGCAGCAGGCAGCAGGCAGATGGAGAGGGAGGGAGATGGATCTGCTTCAGACAGCAGCAGCAAGACGAGGCGCCGACCAGGCGAGGCGGTGGACGAGGCAGGCAGGCAGGCAGGCAGTTGCCAGCTGCCGTGCGGTGTCCTGAGAATCAGCTGGTCAACGGCTGGGTAGCTGCCCTCTGTCTCCACCGCAGCTGTCTCGGCAGTGGTCAAGGCGGAAGTAGAAGCAAATGGCAATGGCAATGGCAATGGCAATGGCAGTGGCAGTGGCAGTGGCAGAGGCTACACAAAAGCCATGTGTCGTGTGCAGGCAAGCAAAGTCAGCGTGAGGTGACCGACTAGGATGTGCTCGACGTAAAGCAGGATCACGATTCACAATTCACCATGCACTTCCATGTGATGTAATGTTGCAGATTGAGACGGCCCAGACACCGCTCGCTCTGGCAGCAGTCCTTTTTGCGCCCTCGCCCTCGCCCTCGCCCAGCACCAGCAACTGGGCATCACAAGTACGCCATCCATACGCATGCCATCTTCTGCGCCATATTATTTTCTCATCCCACCGCGGCCAAGACAGGGGACGCCAGGCCAGCTTATGCTTATCCACCGATCCATCATCCAGCCCGAACCGTCATCATGCCGAACTCTATTTTGCCTTGAACAACGCACATCCATTACACACAAAGAGCCTGAACCGGCTTTGCATCCGAAGCCTGGACGGTCCGTGGGAAGGGGAGGGCGGAGGGCGGAGGGGCAGGCGGAAGGCGGAAGGCGGAAGGCGGAAGGCGGAAGGCGGAAGGCGGAAGGCGGAAGGCGGAAGGCGGAAGGCGGAAGGCGGAAGAACGTCTGCCACGCTCCGCTCTGCTCCGATGGCCGGCCGAGCAAGGGCACCCCCGTTTCATCGCTCGCTCTATCGCCACGCCTCTCCTGCCCAACCCAACCCAACCCAACCGCGCCAGCCTTTTCATCACCGCCCCTGCACTGCACTGCGTCTCATCATGCTGTTGCCACTCATCACACTTTGCTTTCTTGTTTCGCCCGAGTTTGAGGAGCTGCATGCTTGTCATCTTGTCCGACCATCGACATTCCTTCGCCGAGCACGTCTGCCCACTGCCCGTCACCTTGTACAGAACTACCGACATACGGAGGAATCAGCTTCTCCGACACAACCTTGGAAGCGTGTTGCTGTTCCTGTTGATCTTCTCTGCTGACACCAGCCGCTGAAACAGTCTCCGTCTCCGTCGCATCAATTTCAGCTCTCGTCCGAAGCACAAGCCGCCTCGCCATCTTCACAATTCATCTTGTAGGCCTTGTATGATTGACCCACAAACATTGACATGTGCAAAATGGCATACGCTGTACCAGAGTCGCTGTGTGCCTCAAGATGGACTGAGTTGAATCACCGCGGTTTCCACACTAGGAAGTGACTCACGGGCAGTAGCGTTCCACAGCCTCAAACTGTCTTACAAACAGTCTTGGATCGCATGATTGAATGAGCTTCGCACTTCCAGCTCCATGATAGCCAGCGTCGTGATCAATTCCGAGCAATCTGCCGTCCACAAGAATCGCCAAGAGAAGCCATAATTTGCAATCCCCATCAGCGACCATGGGCAAACGCAAGCAACACGACCTGGATGGCAGAACATTAGAAGGCGGAGGCCAGCTCATTCGAATCGCATACTGCCTATCTGCACTTACTAGAATCCCGGTCAAGGTCGAGAATATCAGAGGCAATCGCTCCCGTGGAGGTGGCCTCAAAGCGCAACATCTTGCCTGTGTTCAGTGGCTCGCACGTGCAAGCAATGCTCAATTGTCAGGAGCAGGCACAGGCAGCAAGACTCTGCTCTTCACTCCGGACAAGAGCACTGCAGATCCATCTCCCGCATTCACCAAGAAGACTCTTCAAGATGGCAACCAGGCCTACGAATGTCGCCTCGATATCGGCACGGCTGGGAGCACAGGACTTGCTCTCCAAGCCATATTGCCGTTCATCCTCTTCTCCCCCCTCCCAAGTCCACTCCCGATCCACCTTCGAATCAGCGGCGGCACCAACGTCTCCGGCTCCCCATCCTTCGAATACATAAAGCACGTCCTCCTCCCAACACTATCTCGCCTCGGCTTCCCAGAAATCACCGCAACCCTCGGAAAACGAGGCTGGTCCCACGGCGGAGCAAGCATAGGAAACTTCACCCTCGAAATCCCACCTCGACCATCCCCCGTGCTCCCAGCATTCACATACCGGCCTTCAAACCCAACCCTCTCAAACCCCTCCTCCCTCCGCGCAATTTTCCTAGCCCCAATCTCCTGCCACCAAGCCTTCACCACCGCCCTCAAAACCTCCCTCACCACCCACTTCTCCACCTCCTTCCCCCTCGGCCACGGAAATCTCGCAATCCAACACCAAGATTCCCAAAACGACAAGAGAATCTACTTCATCCTCATCGCCCGAGTCCCACATCCCGAAGCTCCTCAAGGATCCTACATTCTTGCTCGCGACTGCCTATACGATCAGAGGATCCGGAATGGTGATGAAGCTGCTGCGGAGATGGCGGATTCCGTGACCAAGGATCTTGTCGCCGAATGGAAGTCGGGAGGCTGGGTGGATGAGCACATGCGTGATCAGCTGGTGATTTTCCAAGCTCTTGCCAAAGGGAAGAGTCAGGTTTTTCCCGGCGTCGATGAGCATGGTGATGAGCGGGAGCCCAGCTTGCATGCGAGGACGGCCGAATGGGTGTCGAAACAGATTTTGGGCGTGAAGTTCGATAGCGAGGGAAGTTGCGAGGGTGTGGCGTACGGTGACGAGGATGAAGGAGCCGATGATCGATTCCTGGAAGGTGTCGAAAAGCTTCAGGGATGATCTGTGAAGACTTCATCAGCAAATTGCATGCAGCTCAGTCCGGCATTGAGAGAGTGGAACCACGGTACAGGAAGGTCTGGTCGCTCTCGCACACAGTACACTCTAGCTCAATTCGAGACAGAATTCTACCCATGAGAAGCCCGAGTTGGGCAATCCATGAATTTCGCAAACTCCCCAGCGCCGTATCCTCTTGCCGTTTTGGCCACCCGGCCTCTATTCGCATTATAACAAGCTCTTCCCACCCTATGCAACAATGCACCGCTTTTTCCATCCCTTCTATCGTTTATGTGACAGTGTAACCACCGTCCACGCGGAGATCAGCGCCGGTCACGTAGCCAGCTGCGTCGGAAAGGAGGAAGGTGACAGCGCCCATCAAATCTTCTGGGCGTCCCATCTTACCCTGTGGAATAAGGCTTGTCCACTTCTGCGCCAGTTCGGGGTTGTCGTCGAGGATCTTCTTGGTGCTGCAGAATCGTCAGTGTCTCGAAATCATGCTGTGGGGAAGATTGGGCTTACAGTGCGGTGAGCATGTAACCTGGCGAGATGCAGTTCACACGGATGCCTGCATGTGCCCATTCAACGGCAAGTGAGCTGGCGAGATGTCGCACAGCAGCCTTTGCGGCGTTGTATGGTGCTTGCGGCTGTGGGACGTTCACGATTGCGCCAGACATGCTGCCAATCATGACCACGCTTCCGGTAGCTTTCCTTGCCATGAGGTGCTTGGCGACAGTGCAGGACCAGATGTAGGTTCCGTCCACGTTGACGCCCCACAGCTTCTGCATGCGGTCATGAGGATATTCAATGGCATCGAAGTTCTCGGTGAATCCTGCAGAGGTGACCAAGTGATCGACCTTGCCATGGTCCTTGAGGATCTGGTCCATCGCTTGATTTACTGAATCCGGAGAAGAAACATCGCAGTAGTGCGCTGTAACCTTGGGAACTTTGGTAGCTCCCGGATTCTCCTTCTTGAAAGTTTCCATCAGCAGCTGAGCCTGCTTCTCGCCTTCCTCCTCTGCAAAGATTGTCAGGTATTGAAAACGAACGTCTCCGAATTAGCTAGCTTCACGTACTGTTCAAATCGACAATGGCTACATCAGCACCGCTGATTACCAATGCCTGGGACATGACGAGCCCGAGACCTCTGGCACCTCCCGTCACAACACCCACGCGGTCCTCCAAGCTGAAGGTCGCCAGCGTACGCTTGAAATGGTAGCCACCACGGCCCTGGATTGGGCGCGAGCTAGGCAGATCCTCCTCTTCTGGGTACTCGACCTTGATGGTGTTATCTGTTCGCGAGAATTGACCCTCGTGCTCAAAGGCGCCGCGCTTGCCAGCGGTCGAGTACTCATCGTGCTTATCCTTGACCTCCTCGTCGCTTCTGGCTCGAGGAGTAACGCGAATACCTCGAGTAACCTGTCGAGTGAGGGCTGCGGCGGTTGGCGGTCGGGTAGCAGTCGTAGAGGCTCTTGAGAGCTGTCTGAGGATGTTGTGCTTGAACATGTTGAAGGCTGTTCTTATGTGGCGGTGTGAAGAGAAGCAGGCAATGGCGAGCCTAGGCGGAGCTCAATGGTTGATGTAAGTGGGATGGTTGTTGGTCGGTGCACAGAAATGGTCTGAGGAAGGGCGGCTTGTGATGGAAGAGCTTGTGGTGGGTCGGATTAGCTTGTAACGCAAACACAAGACTCGAGTGAAGAAGAGAGCAGGTGGTGTTTTCTTCACACTCAGGGTCTCGCAGGAATGACGACAAAAGGCCCACAGTGGACCTCTCCACATTCGTCGTCTTTCCTTCACTCAGTCCGACGAGACTCGTGTTCTCATGACATGTGTTATTCTCGGCTCACTTGTTGAGCTGCTGATCAACGCAGGTTAACAAAAAAAAATGCACCAAGCTCTTCCCAGCTTCGAGATCTGCCCTGCCCCCAGAAACTCTGGCAAAATGCAAGGGTCCTCATTGGCCGACTGGGGTCGCATGCAGAAACCCCGGCTGGACTGGCCTTTCCTAGGAGTGCTGCGTATATTGCCATTTCAACGAGTATACGGAGCATACTACACATCTACGAAATTGAAGTAGGAAGCAACTGAGGCAGAAAAGCGGATACAGATCCTGAAGCATTCTTTGACATTGCTCCTGTTCAATCGTGCTCCTCTTTGTCGTATTCCGTAGACGACTTACAACCTTGAATGCACTCTGAAATAAATCCTGGTTCTAGTCTAAGCTTCTCGTAGCATTTCTCTCGGCGTACCATCCCCTACCACCTCTCCTCTGTCCATAGCAAGAACCTGGTCAAATCTATCCAACACCACAGAGCCAACACGATGCACAATCGCGACGATCGTGTAATGCCGGAACTCCCGCAAAATGACCTCCCACATCCGCTCGTACATTTCCGCGTCTACGGCAGACCCGATTTCGTCCAAGAGCAGGATTCCGCCTTGCTCGTCCTTCTCGGCGTCAGCACGACTTTTCCGCCGCTCGGCTTGATTCTTCCTCAGCACAGCCCTCGTCAGCCCAAATAACTGCAGTTCCCCTTGCGATAACATTTCGTTCGATAATGCCGTCTCGAGTCCGCCTCGATCACGGATAACACCTGTCAAACCCACCACGTCGAGCGCTTCAAGACAGTCTTCTAAGCTGCACTGATTGTATGGATCAAGGTTCTTTCGCACCGTGGCGTCGGGAAGGAGTACTGTGGTTTGCGGTACGGCGATGATGCGTTCTCGGGCCACTGAGCGTGGGACATGGGCGAGCGGATGGTTGTCGATGAGGATGGTGCTTGATGGAAGGGGATCCAATAGGCGGAGCAGAAGCCGGAAGATGGTAGACTTGCCGCTGCCGGTGCGGCCAACGATGGCGACTTTTGATGAGGCGGCAATTGTGAAGCTGACGTCTCGGAGTGCCAGAAAGGTCGGGGGCTTCTGTTGGGAGAGTAGAGCCGCTCTGGACGTTCCACCACCGTAAGTAACGTTCACATTCCTGAATTTGATCTCGCCTTTCGATAGCCTGTGCGGCTCAACTTCACCATCAATGAACACAGCTTCATCGTTGTTCCCGGCTCGACGCGCAAAGGCCTGTAATCTTCCCACTGTACCTATCGCGATATCCATTCTACTGCCGTATTCGACGACAGTTGTCAGAGCCTCGCCCAAACTCAACAGGGCTATCAATGAAGCCCCACTAATGGCAGCATTCAATTGCAAGTTCACCGCCAAGGCTACCAGAAGTGTCGCCATTCCAGTCACTACCATACCGAGCACGAACTCGAGCCATCTCTGGATCATCGCGAGTAAATAGGCGGCTCTCTGGGAAGTATCAAGCATATCATGATTCTGTTCAAGAAAATGCTTCTGCCAACCAAAAGCTCGGATCGTGCTTATGCTTCGTACCGTCTCCAGGAAGTGCGTGTACAAAGGCTCTTTGGCCTCCAGATCCAGGATACGCAGTCGTCGGGCCGTGCGAAGATACACTCGTTGCACGAACCAGCAAACGGCCAACATGAAAGGGAGGCTGATCAAGACGTAAGGAGACGCGCTGGCCAAGACGGCAGTCATGCCGATTGCAACGAAGGTGTTCAGGACGGTGTTCATCGCAGCTTGTGTCAATTCGGAGTCGATGATGTTCATGTCCTGCGAAAACAACGAAGTGATTTCTCCATGATCGAGTTGCGAGAAGAGCCGGAGTGGAGCATGCACAAGCGCATGGAGAGCATCGCGATGCACCTCTCGACTAGAAACTTTGCTGATTAGCATGAAGCAGGCGGTCATGCTGACGATGAGAAAGATCAAAGTCGTTGCTTTGAGGAGGCCGAAGACGCCCAGGTAAAACGATGTCGATTCGGAGAACCTATTCTGGTTCCAGAATGAGAGCCAGATCGTGGAAAAGTTCAAGCAGAATGCATAGATGAGCGCCAAGGACAGGAAGACCAAGAGAGGCATACTGCCGCTAGACCGGAGGTAGTATTTGTAGAAGGAAAGGTCGCTTTTCAGAGATTGATCATCCGACACATTCTTGGACGAGGTGAGCGAAGGGGCCCGAGAAGTACGAGACTCTTGCTTGGTAAGTTTAGAAAGCCCTTCTTCGAGATTGGATTTTTCGCGCACCGTGCCAAAGGAATTTTGTTGTTCCACAGATTCAAAGCAGTGGTATGAGCTGTTGGGGGGACCATAAGTACCGCGATCCTTTTCAGATGGCGCTGCAGGCTCAGAGGTATTGTTTGATACGATGACCTGGTCAGATACACTCTCGTCATTACTGGGCGCGGTACATCCGGGAGTGAGGTCAATGACATGATCAGCTGCATCCACATATTGTCTGGAGCTGGTAGCAAAGATGGCAGTTCCACCACGGCGCTTGATCAGGCCATCAGGTCCCATCACGTTATCGTACACGTGCTGCGCGGTGCTGCGATCCAGACCGCTGAGAACATCGTCCAGGATGTAGATCGATGTTGACGCATAAAGCGCACGAGCCAGAGCAATCCTGCTACGTTGTCCGCCGCTCAGACTGGAGCCATTACTGCCGACTTCCGCCTGGTCGCCGTTCTCCATTTGACGAAAGTCTTCTTCCAACATGGCAGCTCGGATGACCTCACAGTATAGACCATGATTGAACGTCGCAAAGCCAGTGATATTTTCTCTAATCGTCCCGTTCAGTAACACAGGACTCTGTTCGCAGAAGCCGATGGCCTGGCTGGCGCTGCCATGCATGATAATTTGTCCGCTTGCATATGGACATTCACCCAGCAGAGCTTTGCATAATGTCGATTTGCCGGAGCTGGTTGGACCAAAAACTACAGTTAAGCCATTACACGGAATCCAGGCGTTGAAACCGTGCAATACAGGAGATTCGTTTTTCCATCCAAGATCACAGCCAGCAATGGTGATCGCGGCATTGTTTGCAAGAGCGGCAGCAGAGGTGCCTCCCTCGAAGTTGCGGCGGTCGTTCCACGGTTTTGTTCCAAGGTATGCTCGTATACGACCAAGACAAGCACAGGCTGCGAGGAATGGAGATATGACCTGAAATAAGTGAGAGACCGGCTCTGCAATCAGCGGGATCAGGGCAATTGACTGGTAGAACGTTGCTGTAGTCAAATTGCTGCGAGTAAAGGCCAGTGTCAAGACTGGGCTCAAATTGACGGGAACGAAAGCCATAGTCAAGATCAGCAGCTGAATTAGTCGATATCTTTGCCCAATATCGATCTCGTGCTCCCGCAGGCTTTGAATTGATGCATGTGCCGCATTGGACAGCTGCGTGGCTTGAAGCGATTCCATGTCACGAACAAGATTCGCAGTACACGTCGTACGCTGCTGCCTTGCTTCAATCCAGGCACGCTGGCGTTTGGGAATGGCTCGTCCAAGTAATACTGTAAGTGCCGTGACGAGAAGCACAGACGCAAGAGGGGCTAAGGCTGCGGGTCCGACCTGTTGGAACAGTAACCATATCGCAAAGGCTGCTTCAAGCGGACAACTCCACAACTCGTGCAGGCTGCGAAAACCAGTGCGGATTCTCTCGACTTCGGTGCCCATTAGAGTTAGGCCCTCCGCTTTAGATAAGGCTGAAGAACTTCCCATCAATGTATGAAAGTATAATGCTTCCATTAGCCTCGACCTTGCCATGCACAGCCAACGTTCGTGAGAGTACGAGTACCACGACCTTGCCGTCACGGACCCAGTATATACCAAGAACGTGGCAAAAATGAGGAGATAGCCGATCTTTGTAGATTCTGAACTTCCACGACCTTGCAAGTGGTGAAGGATCGCCTTCAGAAGAAAGACCTGCGCGAAGGAGAAGGCAGCAACCAGTGCTCTAGGGACAAGTGTTGGACAAAGTTGCAGCAATAGCGGACCGGAGAGCAAATTGATCGACTTCCATCTTCCGCTTGCTGCGTGCGTCACGCCTGGGTTCGACGGCCTTCGAAGCCATCGAGTGGTGGTTAAGGAAGGCGGCAGGGGGTAGAGGTCTGCGAGGAGCAAAGGCTTGAAGTAGCCCATCCGCAGAAGTGGATGGAGCCAAGCAAATGATGCAAGGCTGAAGAGTCCGGCGACCGCTTCGGGGGTGCGTTTGTAGGTATGCAGGTTCGCATTCTTTGGCAAGCATTCTAGGAGCAGAGCCCCAAGTTTCAGGGCAAGGATTGCTGTAAAGAGTCCAGCATATGCTTTGAACATCTGACTATTAGCGACAAGCCACGACGTTCGCGCCTGAACAACTCCCCAGCTGATGTCGAAGACCAAGTAGCCTTGCACTATCACGGCCGGTCGTGGAGAGCGCCATTCTTCTAGAAGAGATGTCACAGCCAAGAATGGGACTACGACAGTCGAAAGTACAGCAGAAGCGATGTAAGGTCGGGCGTCGGGAACGTCCAATGTACTGCAGACCGCCAGCGTGCTTATATGAGCTGCCGCAAGGACGAGATAAATGTACTATAGTCTTTCAGCTGACCGATGTCACCAACACTATTGGAATTTTGAATTGCTCACTATCTTGCAGGTGCATGGCCAGCCGGCGGCATTGAGTCGTGGTCGATGCCATATCTGTCGCACTCTCCCGCACGAGACCAAGATAGCTAGTAGCGACAGGGCGATAGGCACGACCAAGTGTTCGAAAGGTATCGTGAAGTCAAGGCCACGGCGACAGCCATGCGCAAGTGGTCCCCAAGTGGAGTCGTCTGGGCAGGCCTGCTCGTGCTTCATGACACTGGCAATAAATTACAATACTGTAGACTCCCCGAGTCTTCGAAAGCTCAAGAGCACTAGCATCTATTCCAGTATTCTTAGTTGACCCTGGCTTACTTTTATTAAATCGTGAAGTAGAACTTGGGATGTCTTCGATTCTGGTTGCTGTTCTCGCTTCATGGTTGTCGACCGCGTCTTGGCAGCGTTTGATGCTCTGTTGAGGCGGACAGTCTAGACCAGCGGCCGTAAGCTGCAGGCATGCATACTCGTCGTCCGGTGCGTGCATCGATCGATGCTTCAGGCACCTGTGTTAACTGGGGCAGCTGGGAAGCTGATGCGGCGCTTTGAAATCATGCCTGCTTCGGATTAAAAGCAAAACGTTCTGCGCGGAACAATATGCGGAAAATTTCACAGCGCCCGGGGCCGTGAGCTGCAATCTGAACTTCTGAAGCAGCATTTTGAGCTGGCGAGACGAATGCTGAGCGATGGATCATTTGTCTTGTTGTTGTGTCGACGGAGGGCAGCAGAAGCAGAAGCAGAAGCAGAGCAGGAGTGGAAGTCTGCACGTCTTCGCTACGCTGCCAAGCAGGCGTCGGATCGGGGAAACGATCCTCCGATGATCTCCGCGCTGGTCTGTTTTGCGCTGGCGCTGCTGGTGAAAGTTTCCAGCGAGGCTGCGACTGCTCATCGCCCCGCCGTTGCCGTTGCCACTGCCATTGCCATTGTGGAGCTGCACCCCTCGACGTTGCTGGTGAGTGCCGTCACGTGACCGTCACACGCAATCCCGCTCCCGTCCCCGCTCCCGTCCCCGCTCTCGTCCCCGCTCTCGTCCCGCTCCCGTCCCCGCTCTCGTCCCCGTACCCGTACCCGTACCACTCCACTCGGCACGCTGCTCATCCTCTTGCAGACCACCGAGCACGTCTTGGGCGAGCTCGTGTCGCTCGCTTCCCACTCCCACACACGGGGCCCGAGCACGATCCGCAAGCGACGAGACTTGCACTCGCCTCTGTTTCACGGCTTCTCCATCAGCATCACCTCCACCGATGGACTGGGAGCGATTGATGCCATCTACCATGCAATCGTGTCCCACCACGCCGTCCGGAATGCCTGGATGAGCCCTCCCGACGCCGTGCGTCCGTCGGCAAGCGCTCTCAGTCGCGGGAGGCACCTGCCGCTCCGTCATCGTGCCCGGCGAGAGTCAGAGCCGCACCCTCCCCATGCGCAAATCGGGGTCGATCGACTGCACGCGGCTGGCATCACAGGCAAAGGCATCCGCATCGCCATCTTGGATACGGGCTTTGACTACAAGCAACAGCCCTTCGGGCACGACATTGGGCCCGACAAGAAAGTCACGTATGCGCACGATTGGATTGGCGATTCCGATGACCCATACACCGAATGCTCACACCATGGCACTCACGTCATGGGAATCGTCGCAGCCGACCGAACCCATTTCGGAGTCGTTGGTGCTGCCCCCGACGCGACCATTGAACTGCACCGAGTCTTCGATTGCGATGGCCATACCGACGAAGATACGCTGTTCAGTGCGCTCACTGCGGCGTGGCAGCGTGGTGTGGATGTGATCAATTGCTCCTGGGGACTGAGCGACTCCTTCGAAGCTGCCATATCGACACTTGCCGCGCGAATCATGGCGAATGGCACATATGTGCAGTTCACTGCCGGCAACGCGGGTCCACGACCGTTCACTATCAGCACTCCAGGCGCAACGCACGGCGTTCCTGCGGTGGGTTCGGTGGACTGTGAAAGCAGTGCGGCCTATTTCTGGAATGGGTCATTCTTCTCGAACGGCGTACAGCATAGCATTCGCTGGGTCCCGGGACTCACTAACTACACTGTCACTGAATTTCCCTCGGACCTTGACGTATGGGCGCCACTGGAGACAGTCCCGGAGAACTCGCCTTGGCGACCGGTCATGTTTCCTGCAAATCTATCCATCCCAGATATGGAAGAGACCGTTTTGTTGATTCGACTCGACTTCTTCGCAGTCTATCATCAGCACATCGTTGATCTCATAAAGCCGAGATATATACTGACCTACCATCCCATGCCTGGCGATCTTGCATTTCCGGGCATGTACTTTCCATCGTGGCCATTGTCAGACTTCCCTGACACCAAGGCTTTGGCTACCGTCGAGCATGAAACCGCTCTCCACATGCTGCACGAGATCAGTCAAGGCAGGCGAGTGATCATCACACTGGCACAGAAGAACGCCTACACCGACGACGTTGCTTATGCCGTGAATCTCCGCACAGGTGGAAGAATGACGGAGAACAGCGGCTGGGGTCCAACCATGTTCGGTGAAGCTGGTGTCACATTCGCCGCGCCCGGTGGCAGGATACTCTCTACCCTTCCGCGACTTTACGGTGGTTTTGGGCAGTTGACCGGCACCTCTATGGCCGCACCTCTCGTGACGGGAGTAGTTGCATTGATGAAACAGCTTCACCCAGACTGGACTCCTGACATGATGCGCAATGTGCTGGCCACAACTGCTCATCCAATGCCCTACACGGATAACAGTACTCGTGATTACGGGCTTCTGGCGCCGGTGATCCAACAAGGCGGCGGATTGATTGATGCATTGAGTGCCGCTTATGCTACGACAATCGTCAACGTCTCCGTGCTTGACTTTTTGGACCTCAGTCGCAAGCCGTCATCGCTTTCTTTCTCCTTAACCAATGTGGGTAACGAGACTGTATCGTTCGGCATAAGTCATATTGGTGCGGCGTCGGGTTATGCCAAGATGCGCTCTGAAGACATGTCATTTGCTGATGACAAGTATTTGGACCAATCGCGGTTGTTGATGGCAGCATATGCCAACGTCCAAGTCTATCCTACATCTCTAACTGTGGATCAAGGGCAGACTGCCGTAGTCCGTGTGACTGTTACGCCACCGGCCGGGTTGAATCCCTCGCGATTGCCATTCTTCGGTGGATACATTGCACTTAACTCTACCGATGGCACGCAAAATTTGACAGTGCCATATAGCGGCATTGCTGCTCGTCTCCCCAAGGATTTGCCTCTGGTCGACGCTGAAAGCGTCAAGTCGGCCATGTATAGGCCCGAGGATGAATCGTGGTCGGGTTGTGACTCTAGTACCAAGTTTGAATTGGTCGGCTTCAACAACACACTACGCTTCTCATCAGGTGCCTGGCCGGCTGTCACTTTCAGCAGCCCTTTGCTTCAAATTCAAACATCTCGGGTCTCGATGGTCAACGTTATGAGCGGACAAGAGATTATCAAACATACTCTCACCCCTGAAGATTGGAGAGCCAAAAAGTGGTACTGGAACGGAGATAGCAGCAGCAGAGAACATACTCTCGTCTCGGAAGGTCGTTATTTTTGGAGACTAAAACATTCAGGCCTACTCGCTCGCAACGAGGAAGATTATACCACGATCGACACGGATCCCTTTTTTGTGGGATACAGCAAAGGTGATGAACAGTATCATCGCACCTTGCCCGAATTTGAGGACACACCGTGCGAGATCGAAGCTGCAGAAGGCTTCAGAAGCTGGTAGGACAATATCCAAATACAAGTCATCTACTAATGCTTCTTCTATCAATCCCTCTGATGCTTCTCATGCCTCCCATCCGCCCTCAAACCCGTCGTATTCCGTCCCGCCGCCCAATCCCAAATCTTGTCGAAATTTCGACATTGATGTACCGTTCGCTGCGAAGCAGCATAGGCATGTAGATCCGGTTGCCAAGTCTGGACGATGGGTGTGAGGTCCCCGTGACATTGTATCGACTGCCGAAGGTAATCGATACAATGGTCGGCATGCATCAGCTGATAATCGTCCATTGCACCTGGGACTACGGTGCCGTCGTCGAAGTCATAGATTAGATCTCGGAGGTATTTCTGAGATTCTTATGAGCGGGCACACGAGAATTTGGTAGAGTGAAAAGTCCATCCTTACCAAACAATGCAGCTGATGAAAAACGGCAAGTAATACAACATGGTGTTGAGGATCATTGCGCACAGTCGACGACCCACCATGTGGACCGAGACGAGAATTTTCCTCTTGCGTGATGGCGATCATTCCCACGTTGAGAATGTGATGCCATGCTGCATTGTTCGATTCATTGGGTCGGCCTTCGAATGGTGTGTTCGGGTCGCTGTTGGAGCCGTCTTTGCGGTGGAAGCCGGCGCGGTCGAAGGGGAATGTGGTCAGGGATGTTGGGGCATCATCGTAAATTGCTGCATGTGGTTTGCTCAGCGTTGGGGGTTTTGGATGGTCTGAAAGGGTTACTTACCTACCTTCGTTACCGAGAAACAGAACTTCCCTTGTGTCTCTTTTGGATCTGAGGGTACTGATGTATAGCCAAAATAGAAGGCCGTAGGACAGCACGAAGATTATGTTGAGAGTGCGTTTGATGAGATACTTGGGCTGCGGGTGTGCTTTGATCGATCTTAGCTCAGCGTAAGTTTGGACCTGATCTGAGGGCAACAGGTTTGCTTTTTCGACGAGATCATTTCGATCGGTATTGAACATGTCCCATACGCCGTCTTGCAGCCTCTTCAATTGTGTGAACATTTTCTCTTCGTTGTTGATCAACGTTCCAACAGAATTAGGTCAGCAGAAATTCTTGGCGCATGGAAAGTGAGCAATCAATAATAGTTCCGGGCCTGTGACAAGGTCGCTAGTATTTAGCAAAGATAAGTTTTCAGATTCCTGGGGGGTTTTTTTTTGTAGCAGTGAAACAATTTTCCGACTTCTAGACCCAGCTGGAACCGACAACCCTCCGGATCAAACGGTGACTCGTCACTCATGGTTCGTTCTCGGCGCTTGAGACCACAATGATCCATGTAGACCATTGGAGCCATTACGAAATTTTCCGTGCATGTGCAATAGGACATTGATATAATCCTTGTAACAATATGCTTCCAAACCACTACACGAGACACATTCTCATCAACAAAAGCTACAACGCCCATTACGGAAGCTGTCCAGTTAAGCGAAAATGCATCTCAAGGCCGCCACGTTTACACTTCTTGCCCTCGGTCTGGGACCAGTCATTGCCACCCCAATGGCAAACGAGGACGTTGCAAGCCCCGACTATCAATATCTGGTGAAGAAGACCCAGGAGGACGTTGCGAAACCTGATTACCAATATTTGGTCAAGAAGACCCAGGAGGATGTCGCGAAGCCTGATTACCAGTACCTGGTGAAGAAGACCCAGGAGGATGTCGCAAAGCCTGATTACCAGTACCTGGTGAAGAAGACCCAGGAGGATGTCGCAAAGCCTGATTACCAGTACCTGGTGAAGAAGAACGAAGAGGACGTTGCGAAGCCTGACTACCAGTATCTTGTCAAAAGGTGATCGGGGGGATTTGCGCCTGTTAGATGGAGGCACGGGAGGGATTGCGACTCACGCCTTTGAGGAATTGGTGGGATCGAAGCTCAGTAGACACTGTCGACCAGTGTACTCCTTAATCCGATGCTTTGGAGTCTGCTACAATCTTGCTGTTGAGCCCCGGAAGAGTTTCCGTAATGTCAGAAGAATATGATGATATGTATGTTCCACGAGAGGGATGTGCGCATACTTGCCTTCGCTGAAATTCTCTCCGAGCACGTTTGTTCGTCATACGATGAAATCGAGGTTTTGTGCGGGCTGATCGTCGTTGTATGACTAGTACGGTGGGTGCTCTCTCCTCGCTGTACTAGAGAGATGTGCAAACGAGCGAAAACTTGCGCCATAGGCTACGTCAGTGGGTTGAGTCAACTACGATGATCAGGATAGTGGATTCATTCGTCCTTAGTACCACACAGACAATGCATAGAACTTAATCAAGATACACAGCTAACTACGCCCGCACAGGGTTCAAGAAAGCTCTCTCATCGCAGAACGGCTGGTCATCCCAAAAGGCGAGACACCGAAATTCGACGCTCTCTCGTGGCGGACCATGGTCCAATGGTGTCCGGAACGCACTATGCGGCACTGCTCTCGAGTGCTCATCAAGCTTTGTATCAAAGCACTTGATGAGCAAGGCCTCATCCGTTTGTAGCTCGCTCGCGTAGTACCACTTGTGTTTTGGATTGTACATGGGCCTCCAGATCTCTGAAAGCGGGAGAGGTAGCTTGGGGTCCCACTGTGTTGGATCGGGGTGAGACTGCCACGGCCTGAGGTCCTGCTCGTCGACCGTCCGGCGGTCGCACAGAGCCAACGCGTCTCGTGTGACAGGCGAGACAGGCTGCCAAACGTTGATCACACCGAAGCGGCAAGTAGTCCCAGTTTCCGTAAGCCTTTTGGCGACCTCAGGTATATGCTTGAAGTTGTTGACGATGTACTTCCCTCCTCTGTATGACTGATCTGCGGAGAGCGGAGAGTCAGTGCTGATCTTGAATACAAATGCAAATGCATACATGGGCTACTGCGTACCAACGTGGACCGAGACAAAGGGGCCCATATACGAGAACATGGCGTCGTTAGGAAGATCTTTGGGCAGTGTACTTAGTTTCTCTGGGGGTTCAAACCGGGTCACGTGGTTGAACATCAGCACATATGAGGCGCCGGTACTAGAATGACTGTGAGTGTCTTCAAGTCGTATCCACATTGTATAGCTTACACTTCTTTCAGTAGCTCCACTGCCTGAGCAGACATCCGACTTGCCACTTCCTTGTTGTCTCCAGCTTGGGCGAGAATCTCACGATCCAGAGGCTTTGATTTGACGAGTTGAAAGCCGTGAGTCTCCCAGTGGCATGACTTTTCCACACTTCGAATATCTGTGATTTCCACATTGTGAGACTCCAGATTGAGACGATGGATACCAGCCGAGCCGGGAATATAGTGTTGAAGCCACTCCTCGCCGTCCGCCGGTGGTTTGACATAGTTCAGGCTTGATTGAATAACGGCGGGGGCCATGTCGTCGAACTTTTGCTAAGGTACTGTTGCGATACAGTCCTATTTGGGTAGGCTTGAAGACAGAGGAAACCCGTAGTCAAGCTGAGCCGCTCACGTCGAATGACTGCCTCCATCACGAAGCCCGTTCGAACTTCGAATTAGGTAAGCTGCAGGCATGTCGGGAATTTTGTCATTAGTGGCACAGATTTTTTCCGAGACATGCAAGTCTGAGTCAGAGTCTTATATAGCTCTCGGAGTGCACTGTTGTCAAAGGGGTAGAGTCCAAACTCGGACTCGAGTCCGACACAGTGTAACGCGAGAGATCCGGGGCCATGGGACTGTCTGCATGGCGCCAAGCCCTGAATTGGTCATCCACCCTAATCCATAAGGCGTCAGCTTAATGGCCGTGATGTTCGAATGCAGCTAGCAAGTGATGGTGGAGGTGGAGTGTGAAGAAAGAAGTCCTGTCCTGCATATTAGGTTCTATAATCCCGGCTAGCGCAACCGCATCCGCATTTAGCCGCGTCGGCCCAGCACTGCTTACATTAACGTCGGACTTCTTCACAAAATCTGCAAGTGTTGAGAGTCGATGTGCTGCAAGGACAGAACGCTGTCAGAGATGACTAAGTTACGGCCAAGGGCCAGGGCCACCCTCTTGCAAAACGAAGGTATGAGCACGCCCGCTCGCATCCCGCACGAAACACCCACGCGCCATGGAGCCTACGCTACAGTACATCAACAAACTCCAGAATCGCAAAGTCTTGATCATCGGCGGGACCTCCGGCATAGGCATTTGTGTTGCTGAGGCCGCTATCGAGCATGGAGCAATCGTGACAATTACCGGAAGCACCGAGAGCAAGCTCCACACCTCTTTACTGCGCCTGAACAAGATTGCAAGTCCTCTACGACGTGCTTCCGGCATACCTAATCCGGCAGTCTCCGGCCACCTCTGCGATCTCAGCGACTTGTCTCTGCAGGAATCCACGCTTCGACTGCTCCTGGAAGCAGTAACCGTGAACGGGGAATACAAGCTCGACCATGTCATCTTCACGGCTGGGAACAGGATTTCGATCCCCGGTCTGGAGGATGTGACACCGGACCAGGTCCAAGCAATGCAGACTGTACGAATAATAGCTCCTATCATGTTAGCTAAGCTACTTCCGGCTTACATGACGAAGTCTGCACTAAGCTCGCTAACGCTTACGGGAGGTACGCAAGCTATAAAGCCGTCTCCGGGATGGAGTGTCATGGCTGGAATCATGTCCAGCATTTTCGGTCTGACACGAGGCTTTGCTTTAGATTTGCAGCCAATTCGGGTGAACGCCGTCATACCAGGAGCCGTGAAGGGTATGGCGACCGACGAACTTGATCCTGTAGTCCTGGAGGAGAGAATGGCTCAGTTTCGGCTCACCACTTTGACGAACACCGTTGGTACGCCAGAGGAAGTGGCAGAGGCGTACTTGTATTTTATGAAGAGCTCTTATGCAAGCGGGACTGTAACCGTCGTCGATGGAGGAAAATTACTGAGGGTGTAACAATCAATGGTCTCAGTGTCAGATATTTCGCGATTGCCTTGAACTATATCCCCTCTTCCTCCTTCACTGGCGACAGAAACAGGAGTGGTATGACAGATGGCACTACTATAGGCTCCTCTCTTATTTACTCCTCCTTCAATGGACCCGCTCCCTTCTGCAACTCGGCAGGAATGGATTCAAACGTCGACCAATCGCCCACAATACAATCAATCGAACTCGTACCAAGTTTCGCATGTGAAGACGCCCTTCCGTCAAGGTACGTAGTATTCGCCGCCGCCAGCATATTCGCACAGTGAAGAGTGTGGTACCAATTCCTAGACTTGGAATCAAGAACCATAGGCTTCTTGCCCATCTGTTTCAGCTGCTTCGCCCAAATATAAGAGCAATGACTAAAATGGTATGTGCCCTGTCGAATGAAATCAGCAATATAATCCAACGCTAGCAATTCTCACACCTACCTGAACCCAATACTCCGTATACCGACCCCGGAACAATTCATCATGAGGCATGACATCTTTTCCGGCGGAATCGTGATAGAACGTCCAGTTCCCAGAATCGCGATAGAAGAACGCATCGGAGAGCTCTTTATCGTAGCATTGTGGTTTCATCCAAGCTGTCATCATGACATCGTAAACACATCCGTTTGCTTCAGCCTCCTGCCAATTTCGGCCGCAAGTTCCAAGGGAGATCCGTTCACTAGCAACCGCTTGGAGTTTTTCATGGTGGCGTGTAAAGATGGCGCTCACCGTCAAGGCAAGAGCTGTCAGTGAGACGATTATGCTCAGAACGTTGCCCGAGAGCCATCTAGATTTTGGGTGAGGATATTCGTAACCATCGTCGCTGGACCATTCGAGCTCTTCTGAGTTCAATGCTAGGCTTTGTCTTTCTATCTTCTCATCAATTCGTATGAAGCGGGACCGGATAAAGTCATGTTGGTTGGAATATGGTTATAGGCTGTGATTCAATCGAAATGATGCTAAGAATGAATTAAGGTGCAGTGATAATGGCAAAGCACGTGCAAACTGTTCGTCACGACCATGAAGATGCGATAGACACACCAAGTCCTCATCTCTAGAGCTATGAGCTCGATGTTGACGCCCCTGGCTTATTCCCATGTAAAATTTCCGAGAGTGGCCGTGCTAGTGGAAGACACGGCTTCGCTTTTTTACAAAGCACTGATATTTTCCGAACGGTAACTCAAGACGTGAACATCCTTGTAAAGAGCGATGTCAGGTTCTCCACTAATCCAACAATGCTCTGAGGACTTTTACACCAAGCATTCTTGCTCATTTGGTATAGCAAAAACCGTGTGCACTGCGCTGCGAACATGTCACTCGCTGGATCATCGACCCAAACCTTGTCCTTCCCCGATTACAGCGACTCAAAGTGTAGTTTTTGCCTTGACGAGTCGAGCACACCACAGGACAAATGCAGGCAACCTTTAGAATCAGCAAAGAAGCGAGTGATGTGGAGGAAGGTGCTTTCGGGAATATGCACAATATCACTCCTGAGCTTTCTACTTGCAACCGCGGCACTCAGCATTGCCATCGGCTTATTATTTACCAACCGCCTCACAGCTCTGGACGCCATGTCAGGGCCACAGAAGTTTGATCTTGGAAATTGCGGATCTTCCTGGCAAGAAGCTGAGGCCAAAGGTGAGCGAATCAAGATGGACCGTGTACCACACTGGCAGATTTTAATCACCTGGCGGCTAGGCTGTGTGTTTGATGTCATGGCAACCGATTGGGTCCGCGCTGAATGCAAGCACAAAGAACTCTCCGACGTACTTTTCGCACAAGGCAACTGGACGTTCTATCGAGATGCGGAAGCAACTCAAATCATTCCGCATGAGGAGTTGCTGAAAGGCAGGATATCTCCTTACTACACCAAGGTACGTTAGAACCCCCCATCATTAGGACGAGCACTGACAAGGCGGCGAAAGGGCGCGTATCATTTCAGCCATTGTGCGTATGTCTGGCACAAACACGTCCGCTCGATGGGCAAGGAGTCAATGCTTCTCGATAGCAAGAGTCGAAATTGGGAGCATTCTCTGCATTGCCTGTATATGCTGGCCAAAGCCGATACTAGCTACATTAGCAACAAAACATCGAGCAAGACGGTGCTGGGGCAAACTAAGACTGGGGACTCGGTTTCATGTGTCGCTGGTGCTTGGGAACCAGCTCATAAACCGATCGCTAACGGTTTGAAGATGATGAGCTTTGAACATTGATAATGCGTTGATCTATGATGCGTAAGACAATGGTATAGAAGAACGATCGATATGCGCATTAGTATCTCAAGTTCCATTATCTGGGACGTGTGTTTGCAAGCGTTCTCACTCTCTGAAAGCCAAGTCAGTTGCTTCCTGTTAAATCTCGGCGATGATGGGAGTTCAGACCTTTCCCAAGCTAATAATATCTGCATCCATCTTATGAACGGCATAGAGCAAGCGTTGTCTGAGACTTCTGTTCTCCACCTTGGCAATGCAAAAGATTGTGCACTGGCGGTTGACAGGCTACTGCTCTGTGGTCCCGCGGATGGACTTTAGGCTGTACAAGTCCTACAACAGCACTGAGTTCGTCCCACCACAAAACTTTCTCGTTCTGGTCCAATCTTGCAAAAAATCCCAGCGCGAAGCCCAGCTGTCGGAATTGAATCGTGCTGTCAGTGTTCACACCAAACGAACACGCGGAAATGCAGAATGCAGTTGTCGCGGCGCTGAGAAACGTCCTAGTTCTTATCTTTAGCCAAACGTCCAATCCCGTTCGACGTATCTTCACTCACGGTTCTCTTTGTACAGTTTGCGGGTCTTCGTAGACTAAAGACTCCAGGATCTCTGAAGTGTAGGTGCTAACCATCAGCTCAACTGTCTGCCGTGCTACCGAATCTGACGGCAGTGCCAGGGAGCGATTGAATATGTAAAGTAGCAACAGGTACCAGGTCCAGGTTGTGCGGCAGCTTAGAACGCTCTTGTCATTTGGTTGTATGGCACGAGCATCTTCAATCCATTCGGTCGCAGAAGCAATCACGAGCTGAATTTCTTCAGCGAGCGCGTCGTGAGCAAGATTGCAAGCAGCTTTGCTGTAAAGTTTCCCAAGCATTCTTGAGCATAATTGAGCGAGTCGAACATGTATCAGGAATTCGCGATCGGTGTCGTCGCTTGGACGAATGAGATTCTTTGGGACCTCTAAACCAATGAAATTATCGTTTAGTGCCTGTTCGGGCGTTAGTTCTTGGAACCGATAGCCGTCTCTGGAAGGAGTCACAATGATAATACAGACTTACCGAGATGTCACCCCTTTCCATTCGAGTTGGCTTTTCGATAGTGTACAACAACCAAAATGAATTTCTTAGTTCTTCTTGATCTGTATCGTTGCTAGTTCCGATACTTGTGCTCGGGCAAAGGTGGAATTCCCGAGACTGAGCGCGAGAGCTAGCATTGTCTAGCAGCTGGTCGACATCTGATGGCGATAGGTGAATCGCAGCAACAAGCTAGACCGTGGTTGAATCAGCTACCTACCAGTCGAGAGTATCGAGCACAGCGGTGAGCCCTACCAAGAGCACAATGGCCTATATGGTCAGTACGAAGGCAGAGAAGACGAGTGCTCGAAAAACTTACCTTAAAAGCTGACATGGACTTTTTGTCACATTGCAGCTGGGCAATATAAGAGAGCGCGTGGCGATAGTGAGCGAGAGCAGTTGCACGACGCTCTTGACCATCGTCATTTGTCTGTTTTAGTATGATGCCAGAAGCGATGGCAGAGTGAACGGTGATTATTTTCTCTGCATGGCAGTTGCGGTCTTGAAAGACCTCTTTGGTCATCTTCAGTAACTTGGTTAGATTCATGCAACGAGCACCTCTGCTGAAATGTTTAGAGAGAGCGATATTGATATTTCCCATGACTATGTTTCTTACCTGAAGGGCCGAGTGCAAAAGGCTATAGAATGCAGCCGTTAGCGATAGCTTCAGAAGCTTTCTGGGGCATCTTGCGTACTTTCTATCGCAGTTTTAGCTGCTGTGTAACCGGCCAAGGGGTTTCCTGGCAAAGTCGTTGATCGGTGATCGTCAAAGGAGGACCAGCTTGCCAAAGCGCTTTCGATTGACGTGCCCAAATCAAGGCTGATATATCCCTCGAGCCGTCGCGAGTCGACTATCTGACGCAATACATCTTGGTAAGAGGAGGCAGGTGGTCGAGAGTTGCACTCGACATACGGAAGGGTAGGGCTTTGACTACATGACTTTTGCCTGCGTGCTTCGCCACTTGGCGTGTCTGCTGCAATCGTTAAACCAGCAGCCACGTTGGAGGTAAGGTATCGTACCTAAAGTGCAACTCGGGAGATCTTCACCTCGGCTCAAGCAATCGACGAGCACATCACCTGGCTCCGATAGCAGCTGATTTGGTGTTGCCAGAAAATTGAACCAGTCCTGACCGGCGATATCGATAGCCCCACCGTCGGGATTGCTTTCCAAAGATATCCAGCGCTCTGTGACCTCAGAAAACAGATCGGACGAGGTAGCTAATCGCGATGTTGATGTATCTGGTGGACTGGAAGGCGTTATAGGCAGCTTCCACCATTCATCTGAAGTATCTGTACTGGCGATTATCGATGGCTGTAAGCACTTAGGTCGCCGTCCACGCTTCTTGGACGGCAAATAAGTACATTTCTGCTGCGTCAACTTTACATGCACCTGGTCAACGCGGGTTCCGGGCAAAATCGAAAATGCATCAGTTCTCACCTTGCAGCTTGACATTGCGGAAGTCCCCCATTACCTGAATGCTGTCAGAACAAATTCGTTGTCCTCAACGGCCATGGAGGGACATACACCTGAACTTCTTGACTCGGCAAAATTCACATGCTCCTGGTCGTCGTTTGAAATCTTCCATCGTCAGCTGCTTGCGGTGGTGCTCCGACACGATGCGATGCTCTGTTCGATCCACTGCAGAACAAGCGATTTCCTCGAGGGGAGCGACAGTTGTACAAGGTGTCTGTTGGTCTAGCGTAGAGCTCGAGAACAAATAAGATCAGTGGTGTATAACGTATATACCCTCGTTTAGAAACCGTGGGTCCGAGGGAACACAGGGCTCCTAAGGACCCGGTGTAAGTATCCGGGGTTTCGGCAGCTAGTGACAGGCCCCGTGGGCGCCCCGTGGTGACACCAAAAGCCGATCGCTTATAATAGCAATTCTCTCCAGCTTAAAGGTCTACTGTTCTGGGTCCAACAACACCATCTTCCAGAAAAAGATTTCGATATTTTGGTTAGAGACCAATGAAGGTATCAAGAATATATCTACAGAATCTGAGAAATCTGCCAGCGTAAAAAGTAGGACAATATTCTTCTCAAGTTGTTGTGTTTAAGAAGGGTTTACTAAGTGATCGGCTTTCCGTATTACCGACCAGGGATAGAACTAAATACCGGGGTTCTCTTGCCCTGCGCAGGCTGCGCTATCAAATGATCAAAGTTCAAACCTTGCCTTCTAGGCATGAAAATGCTGATTAACCAGAAAGGGCTACTACAGACTCTTGCCCCCCGGCCGGGCCATATAGGGATTGAACACCGATGCTAGTTTGACCAAGCTGCTGTCCAGAAATGTAGGCAACACTCAAAGCGGCGAATCTCAGGTGCGGGAGTCGTCTGTAGGGATAAAGCCTGTATGGCCTCGGACGTAGGAATATTCTGTACCCCTTTGGCAGTATTTCCGAGTGTAGCAAGCTGCGGCAATACTCGACGATTCTAGACTGTATCCGAGCTACACCGAGGAGGGTGAAGTGTAGGTCTCTAAATCTGTTCGGTTTGACCTGCACATTTGAGCTCTAAATAATGATTCCTCTTTCGACCCCCAAGCATACAGAGCCTCAGTGCATACTGACTGCTCCGCTCCGCACCGCGCTCGACCAGCACCAAGAACATCCAAAATCGAGTCAAGACCGTATCAAATGGCCGAAAATACGCTGAGCATATAACTCTTGGAGGCACCTTCTTCTGCGGCAGTGGCATATCGCCTCTCGCCAGAATATCGACAAAAGCCGCAATGCGCTTCCGCCTCCCAGCGGGAGTTTTCAAGGCAGTAAGGCGGAAGTATATGGCATAGCGATTCTGCTTGTTCAAAGCGTCCCACGCAGCCTGAGCACTGAGCAGAAGGCACCTTCGCAAGCTCAGCCAGAAAATCCTCTGGAGCTTGAGCTTCGGCAGAGCCAGCATACGCGGCGGCCCATTAAGTAGCCTCGTTCAGCTTTCGTCCCTGTCCATCTGTCCAGCCAAAGCACATTGCTTCCTCGATGGCTTGCTGCCATGTCAGGTTGGTTACACCGCCCGACGCTGCATGCTCCTTCAGCAACCGCTGTCTCCACAGGTTTGTATAGACTATTCGTCCGCGAAGATTTACTGACCAGGCAGTGTGATGTAGAATACAGTAGACGCGACGGGCCCGGGCCAGACCCCACTATGCAAGATGATCAGATAAGAGGGAAGCTTATTCTAAACACAGGCACACCCCGTCCGAGCGGGTTTTTCTAAAATGCGGTCCCGGAAATTCTCAATGGCGCTTTCACATGCTAAGCCTATACATATCCTCCGATGGGCCCCCTCACGGCCTGGAAGGGTAGTTGTGGAGGAGGTACGACGATACGCCGCCCGCTTAGCTCTCTCCACGCAGCACGAAGGCCAGTCCTGTCCGTACTCCAGAGCTCGGAGAAGGAATGTTCAAAGGAACAACAACAATGAATCAATCTGCGAGGCCTGATCAGCAAGTGACCTTCTTCACACTCCCTGCCGAGATCAGATCAGCTATCCTAGAGCACGTCTTCGATTCCAATTTTCAAGCCAAAGGCTTCCTAGGACAGGGACTGCTGGGAGGCATCTTCCACAACGAGGACTACAGCGCCAGCAGCCTCCTCGCACCTCTTCTCGTGTGCAAGCAGTTCTATCAAGATAGCAGTCTTCTCGCCCTCACTCGCGCGAACTTTATCGTATCGAATCTCTTCTTCAAAATTCCCGAACGAATCTCCATTCTCCATCCGAAGCAAATTGAAGCCATCCGATCGATCGCATTCGTCGCCGACGCAAGACATTTCACACAACTTCATGACTGGGGCCAACACCCTTTCGGGATCAAGAATTTGAGCCTGGATAACCTCACAATCGTACTTCGAAGGTCGAGCAACTGGCATTACCTCTTCGACTTCACAGCCGAAATCGTCAATCTCCTCCGCTCCCTCACCAACGTCAAGAAGTTCACATTCGTTCGCAACGTCGCGTTGGTAAAAGGCAGTTTCAAGACATGGTATAATCGTTTGATAGGACTGATGCTCAAGATCGATCATTTGGAAAGATACGATAAGATTCCCGCGAATCCTGAGGAGACGTGGTGGACGTGGAGTTACGATGGAGTCGCCCAAGCCTTCAACTTGGAAGCGCAGCCGGCCAAGAGGATCATGGATGAGGAGGCGTACATGCAGGAAATTTTGCCATTGGTGGAAGAGCTGAGAGTAAGCATGGAAAATGAGGAATGGAATCCAGACCCAAGGTCAAGGTTGCCATATTACTAGAAAGAGAATGTTCATTCATATTGAGCATGGCGATACAGCTACGGCTCAGAAACGCAAAAGCAATCGTCCTTGCCTCAATGGCAATCCCGACTGAACTTCCGAAATTGACCAAGAATTTGCACGGTCAGAGTACCTTCAGCGGAGCGCAGAATCAGACCAAGCATTGATCAAGATTCGACGACGTAAGTACAAGCCTCTGCTCATTGAGAGCCAAGAATGATTGGCGTGCTTGGAATGTCCACAGATCTTGATGCGATTTAATGCTGAACCTCTCCGTGCCTCCCTTCGTCCGAGACGTCACTTGAGGCCCTCGGATGGAGATATTGCGGATGTGGTTCATATAACTTGCCATTCGATATTCTACATGGTCGTTCGGTATCTAGCAAACGTGATCTTCTTCGAATGCACTGGTATGCATCGACATTCATATGGGCTTCAAAGAGCAATGATCATTGGGTATCGTCTTCTTCCTCCTCATTTTACTTGCCAGAAATCTGGCCCTCCACGAAACTAAGAGCTTGATCTCGACTGACAACGTCGATGGTACTGGCCTTGCTAAGATAGCTGACACCGTAGCACTTCTCGGCCACATGCAGCATCTCTGGTCTGAACGTCGTGCAGATGAATTGTCCTGTCTGACTGCTCTGCTTAAGAAGCTCGGCGACGGCAGTACGATACTGTGCGTCCAGGTTGGCATCGATCTCGTCGAACAGGTAGAAGGGCGCTGGATCCGAAGCTTGAATGGCAAATACGAGTGCCAACGCGCACAGAGACTTCTGTCCACCAGACAATTGCTGGATGCGCTGCTGCTCATCGTGCTTACTGTTGAAGGAGACGGAAATGCCGATGCCGATATAATTATCGACGCCAGAACGTCGCTCTTCGTCTTCACTCTCATCGCCAGCAGCGCCATTGCCGTTTACGTGCATGTCGCTGCGACGCTGAATGATCAGACGGCCCTTGCCCGCGGGGACAAGACGTTCGAAGATGTCAGCAAACTCCTTGCTGACCTGCTTGAACGTGCGCTGGATCGCCTCATCCTTGCGCTGATCGAGGACGTCGATCAGATCACGAATGCTGGAGTCACTGCTGTCAAGCTCCTTGCGGCGCTGCTCAAGATGCTCCCGCTGTCGCTCGAATTGCGTGTACTGCTCGAATGCCTTCTTGTTGACATGACCGTATTTCTTGAGGGACTCTTGCACCCTATGAAGCTTCTTCGTCGCCGTATCACTGCTCATCTTCGTGTATTGAGCGGTGAAGGCTGCATCGGGCAGCACACCCAAGTTCCGAATCTGTGCCTGCACGTCCGCAAGACGGGTCGCATAGCCTTGTCGCTTTTGGGCGCCTTTCTCGATGCTCCTCGCATGGTTGCGGATTGCAGATTCAAGCTTCTCCACTTCCGCTTTCTTGGATGTTCGTGCGGCTTCAGCAGTTGCTCGCTGCTCCACAGCGCTGTCCATAGATTCCTCGATCTCGGCGAGCTTGGCATCAATGTTCGCCAGACGCTTCTCGATGCGCTTGAGATCACTCTTGAGGTCCTTGACCTTTGCGCTACTGCTGCCGTCTCCAGCGACACTGGCATCTAGGTCGATACTCTGTAATTCGTTAAGGCGAGGCTTCAGATTGACGGTAAGAAGATCATCAAGATTTCTCTTCTGAGCCTCCATTGTGGCCGTTTCGCCGTGTATTTGATTGTACTGCTTCTTCAGATCTGGCAACTGGGCTGTGACAGTCTCCAACTCGCGTTCCTCCTGATTGCTAAGGGCTTTCTTAAAGTCACTCTGCAATTCGGATTGGTAGCCATCGAGATGGTTGCTCAAATCGTTCAAAAGGCTGTCGACATTCTCGCGGGCTTGGATCTTGCGGTCGAGCTCATCACGTCGGTGTTGCAACTCATACTCTTTTCGCCGCAGCTCCTCCCTGAGCGGACCGTATCCTCCTTCTATTTGGACACGCTTCTGCTCGATTTTCTGAAGATTGCTCTTGGCTTTGGTAACCTTTTGGTCAATTCTCTGCAATTCGTGACGGATTTCCTCCTTTCGGCTAGTGACTTGCTCAAGCTCCTCGCGGGCTTCGGTGAATCTTTTGATGCCATCCATACGAGAGCTTCGGGTATCGTGGAAACCTCCCGTCAAAGCACCTTTCTTGTCCGAGCGATCGCCATCTGGGGTGATGGCACTTACGGCATGGCTACGAGCGTACTGTGCTGCGACCTGCAGATTCGGACAGACGATTGTCTTCCCGAAAACTTGCTGCATAGCCTGCTCGAAGCGTTGGTCGTATCTTAGCTTACTGAGCAACGGCAATGCGTCGCTAGCCTTGGGGACCTCGATAGGCTTAATTTTGATTCTGTTGAGCGGTGTGAATGTTATTCGTCCACCTCTCTCCTGTTGCAAGGTCTTGATAATCTTCTCCGCCGTTTCGTCCGTGTCAACGACGTAGTGGAACAGAGATGCACCTGCAGTGACTTCCACAGCCGTCTTGTATGTGTCTTTGCATTGGAACAGCTCGCCAAGCGGTCCATACGCGCCTTCGATACCTTCTCGTTGGACTATTCGTCGTACGGAAGCGAGACCACGCGCAGTGTTCTGGTCCATCATGTGGCTGAGGAACCGCTCGGCTTTATCGTATTCCTGTCGAGCATTGGCAATCACTGAGTCAAGCTTGGCCTCTTCACGCCAGAGTTCCTTTCGCTGGTCGACGAATTGCTCGTGCTCATCCTTGATTTCCTGTAATTCCGCTGAGATGTTCTGCTGCTCGTCGCCACGATTTTCAATGCGATGACGGAGCTCAGCGATATCTGTCTCAAGCTGGGAGATCTGCGACTCCAGCTCGGTGATATCCTCTTGCGCTTGCATGGAGATGGCCTTTCGAGTTGCGAGAGACTCATTGATCTCAGAAATCTGCTTCTTCAGGAAATCGTCGCGCTCCTTCTTGGTGCGATATTGACTGACACGTGCTTGCTTGGCGTAGAGGCGTTGCATCGTGCTCGTTAAATCGTTGATCTGGCGCTTCAGATCTCGTTCCTGTTCGCGCTTGGCATTGAACTGCGGTATTAGCTGGGCCATTTCCATTTCGCGCTGCTTGATCTCGTTTTGCACGTTTTGCAGCTCATTTGCTCTCTCTTTCTGTGCCTGCTGAGTGGCTGCAAGATTGTCCTGCATACCCTGCAGGTTCGATTCGATCTGTGCTTTCGTCCTGGAAGCTTCAACGCGCTCCTCTTTATATTGTGCTTGTTCTTGGGAGAGGAGACGCATTTGCTGCTCAAGACTGGCAATTTGAGCGTCAATGTCGTCCAGCTGTTGCTCAGCCTGCTTCAGCGCATCGCGATTCTCCTCGTTCTGCTCCACCCCACCATCGCGTCGGTCGTCGATCTCGGCAATCAGCTCTTCGAGGGCTTCCTGATCTTTGTGCTGAATTGTGTACTCCAAGCACCGGCGTTCGCGATCCTTGTCCTGGAATGCGCGCAGCTCCTCCTTCTCTTCCTCAAGCTCGCCCAAACGGGTGCGAATACCATCGAGCAGGTCGTCAATCTTGGCACGCTTCAGGCCCGTCTCGTCCATAATCTTCTGCGACTCAGCCCTCCTGCTCTCGTAGACCTCGGTACCGGCGACAGTCTTGAGCATGTTCAGACGCTCGTGGTCCTTCATATTTGTGATTGCTGTGACACGGCCTTGCGGGACGATGTAGTATGGGTTGCTGCGACTGAAGCCTGCGCTCTCTAGGATGTTCATGACTTCCTGCTTGGTGGTGTTCTTGCGGTTCAAGCTGTACTCGTCCTTCTTCTGGCCAATGGTGCGTCGGAGGACGACTTCCGGGGTGTTGGTAGGGAAACGGTCATCGCTGTTGTCGAAGATGATCTCCACGTACGCGCTCATCACCGCCGAGCCCGCACCTTCATGCAGCAGGCCTTGGCGATCTTCGCGACTGAGCTGGGTGTATTTGTCGCTGAGCACGAAGCGGATGGCAGCGAAGAAGTTGCTCTTGCCTGAGCCATTGCGGCCGACGATGACATTGTGCTTGGGCGAGAAGGGCTCGATGACGGTCTGGTCCTTGTACGACTTGAAGCCCTGGATGATGATCTGCTTGATGTACATCTTGGCCTGGAGCGCCTGCTATGGCGCGGCGTTGTGGTGACTCCAATGATAATATGTGGTGTGAGTGTGAGTGGGACGTGCAGTGTTTGCGACGCGTTCACGCGGCGGGCACGCGAACCGCGGAAAGAACGTCCGAGCGTCGCATCATTCGCTATGTCGCGTCGCCTCGCTTCAGCCTGATCGTTCGGCTCCTCGGAGACAAAGATACTAGGGTCGGAGTCGGCTCATTTCTGTCGCCTTATCTATGCCTATATTTTGTACGACTGCAAGTAGGTACATTATTAACCGTCTGATCGAGCAGGTGCATTATCCGACGCATGACCCGAGTGAATCGACCCTCTACCGACCCCTTCTCCGCCATCGGCTATCGCACCCAATCTTCCTCGGCCCTTCGTGCACACAATTGTGGCAACCTCACCTTGCAGCTCTGGCCGGAGCCATTGACGCTTCGATTTTGGTCAGCTTGGAAGCCAGCTCGCCTGCATACCAGATATCACCACTGCACGCATCCTTGCTTGAAGGAACAGTGCCTTATCTGGACCTCACGCGGGCTGGATGGAACTGTTTGATATCTATCCTAAGCATTGATATCTCACCCTTCACGAATCACTTTTCAGTCTGCGGAGGAGCAATCAGTGTGGACTTGATGCTAAAGCAGGAAGAGGGCCTGTTCAACTCTTACTTGAATCCAAATTTTGAACGCTTTCACGGAACACAACATGCCAGAATTCGCATATGGATCAGGGCCTCCCCAGCCCATCTCCCCCATGAAGCCCGAGAAAGTCGCCGAAGGCTTGACAATTGTACGACCTCTATCGCGCAAGGGCACGGGGCCTGGCTTAATCGTGCTTGCTCCCTACAACGACTCAGAGACTCCGCTTGAAATCGAGGATGGTATTCCTGGTCTCCGAATGAAGTGGGCGGAAGAAGGCTACTGCGTTGCTGAGATTCGGCCTCATGCCGATTCGAGTGCTTTGAAGACTGCAGTCGCGAAATTAAGCGAATGTGACGAATGCGAGCCAAAAGAAACGATTGGCCTCGTCTGCTACGACCCTGAATTGTTCTTGAAATCTGCTTCTGCTCTGGAAACACTTAAAGATCGCATTGTGGTTGCTGCGGTCTACGCCGAGGCCTCACACCATGCACGCCTGGCGGCATCAACCTCGATCCCGACCATATATCACTTGACCGGCAAATCAGACACAAAGCTCAGATCGACACCTGATAGCAAGATCTACGAGTACGCATCGATAGAAAACGGCCGATTCGCAGTACCATTCTACAAAGACTTCCATTATGGTACCGAGGCTGTATCACATACTCGCAATCTGACCTTTTTGAAGCAAAGGATGAACGGGCCATACTTTGATCTGGAACTGCTCTGGGACGAGCACACATACTACGAGTTCGAGAATCGAAGCGTCGAAAACACGATGGCGACAATGGTGGAAGAGCCTTATGTCAACCACATTCCAACATTAACAGGTGGCATTGGACGCAAGAATCTGACAAACTTCTACCGAGACCACTTCATATTTGCCAACCCTGACGATACCGAGCTCGAACTCATTAGCCGAACAGTTGGCGTCGACAGGGTCGTCGACGAGTTCATTTACAAATTTACTCACGATAAGACACCTGACTGGCTCTTTCCCGGCGTGCCACCTACCTACCGCAAAGTCGAAATCCCAATGATGGCGGTGGTCAACATTCGAGGAGATCGATTGTATCACGAGCATATCAGCTGGGATCAAGCCACGGCTTTGAAACAAATTGGTTTGCTGCCGGAAACCTTACCTTTGGCTGTTGATGCACCGAAGACGAATGGACAGGTCAACGGAACTGCTGTGCCTGCAGGCAAGAAATACGAGGTCATCTTGCCTGTGGCTGGCACGGACACTGTTGAGAAGATGAGGGATAAGAATGGTGTTGACTCGAACAAGATGTTTGTTTTCAAGGCGAAGGAGATTTAGGGCACGATTCTGGAGACATGACGGATTTATACGAGGATGGTGTATCATTACATATGTATATGACACGAGCGAGCATTTAAATTGTAGCTTTCGCAGCTTAAGATGGATGGCCGAAGTTCATTAAGTAGTCAAAGCCGTCTCAGCTCTTTCATCATTCATGTTCGTGTGCCTGATTTGTAGATTTTCAGTCACGGTATACCGGCCCTTGACCGGGTTACAGCCAATGTCGTGCTGATAAAACTCTAATAACTTTGAGATCAGCGAAGTTGCCCTACGAATATTGCACCAGGGACGACCTCGGTCGAATCGCCTTTTGAGTTGATATACCTAGGTACCACTGTCAATCTTTGCACAAGGGAAGGAGTAGTCGACAAGTGTTTGAGGAATTCCATCGTCTTCAGACTCTACCTTTTCAAACGCTAAATAACATGCAGCACTAATAAATCAATCGAGCTCGCCAGGAAATCATAATGCACTTTCTATCTTCATGCTTTCGCCTGTGGCTTACTCTGAGTCCACTCGTCAATCAAGCCCTCGTAGTCCGGTGGTCCGTAAGGCTCCGTCAAATCAGCCCAGCCTTGTTTCCTGTTCGGATTCAAACCAAGATCTTTCACCATCATGTCGGTATATGGTATTGCATCGAAGACAAAATCAGGCAAGCTGGCACCATAACCACTAGGATATCTCCACTTGCCCCATTGAGTGTGGGTCATGATTTCTCTCGTGATCTCTTCATCGGAAGTGGGTAGTCGTGAGAGGCGACCATCAAGGAACGCAGAGATCCAGAGACCCTGTACGCTGGCACAGATAGCTGTTGAGACGGAGGAGACCATACCGGCGAAAGCGATATTGCGGTCGTTAATGCGTGCTGGAGGGACCATAAATCTGTAAAGGCGGAATGGATCATTCTTGGGCTTGAAGTTGAGAGGTGGCTGAGCTCGTAGTCTTGGGAATTGAGTGAGGATCTCTTCATCGTATTGGGTGACCAGCTTGGCTTGTTCTGTTGGAGTTTGTTTGAGACCAATGCCAGCTGTGCCGAAGTTGAGAAATTTGACGGATGGCTCCTTCTTCCAGCCAGTTGAGCAGACCAAGACATCGGCTTCGAGATCTGTGCCATCTGTGAGATGGACGGTATGATCAGTAAGGCGCTCGACGTCGGCATTGTGTATCCGGACCTCGCCTCGCTTGACCATGTCAAAGAAGTCACGATCGTAGTTGTGAATGCTGAGCCCAGAGCCAATCCAGAAGGCCGGCTGCCATGGCTTGAGCTTTTGCAGCTCAGGATGTGAGTCGTAGCCGTTTGCTGCCACCACTTCTCCACCAAGACCTGACCAAAATTTATCCACCAGGAATCGTCCGACAGCAGTGCCATGAAGGAATTTTCTTGGCCATTTCCAGCCATCCTCGCCTCCCCAAGGACATGGAGAGAACCACGTCATCCATCGCACATGAAGGAGCTTCTCTAATCTCTTGCCGCCCATGACGTACGGATATGAGATCCAGACCGGTCCGTTGCCAGAAGGTCTGATTACCATGTCAACCTCTACACCCTCGTTTGCATATGCGAACGCCACATCCATGGCAGACTTAGCACCGCCAACCACTACAGCCTTCTTTGCTGACTTGATCGTGTCACCTCGCCGGCAGAAGTCCTTGGCATGGAAGTATGGTGCATTGAATGTCTCTGCTCCAGGGTATTGTGGAAAATTGGGTTGCGAAGTCAGACCGGTAGAGACGATGACTTTCTTGCTGTACACAGTGCTCTGTTTCTCGCCCGCAGTAGTCTCAATCTTCCAGCCGCCATCTGGGGTAGGCTCTAAAGACTCGACTCTAGTGTTGAATCTCGTCCTGCTGAAAACACCAAACTTCTTCGCGAAGTCAGTCAGGTAGCGATGCAATACTCGTCCAGGAATGTGATCGTCGTGTGTGATGCCATAGTTCTCTGGCACCATCGGAAAGTCGGGATACTCGTAGCTACTATGCAGGTTATTCGACTTTAGTCCTGGGACGGAGCTCCAGAGTGGCAAAGCTCCGGAAATGGAATCTTCAGCGCCTCAATCAAATTTCATGAAATTTCAGTTACCCTTAGCAACTTTCGTGAACTCTTAGCAACTTTTAGCCAATTACGGGCATAGATGTCGCTATTACCCGATACTACTCTTTCGACGTAGGAAGCTATAAGAGCTACTAGAAGTTAATAAAGTTAGTAGTATTAATAAATACTAAAAGCGTATTCTATTGCTTTAGCATTTCTTTGCGTTCTATATCTAATATATACGCCCCTTATAGTAGTTTGTATAAGGGGCGTATATATTAGCCTACCGGATATCTCTATTACTTAGCCGACTCGGATACAAACCTTCTACTATATTCCTACGTAGGTTAATAATATATACTAAAGAATGTATGCGAGCGAGCCGAGTCTTAGGTGCAACAACTATGTCCCGCCGAAAGTATATTATTATCGCTATCCGCCGTACGCCTTAATCGATATCGACGCTATCGACGACGAATACTAGGACTAAGCTATATTAAAATATAAGAAGAGCTATATTAAAACATAAGAAGGGTATCGTAGTATAATTATTTAGAGTAGGAGCGCTAGCTTCGCTAACTCGTAATCTAAAGCTAGTCTATTTATCGATCGTCGAAGGCCTTTAGCGCGTTAGCGAGAAGGCTAAGCGCCGTCTTAGTCTTAAGATATCCCGAAATGTCCTTATATAGCTAGTTAATATAGCTAGTAGCACTAAGACGCCTACTATATCGAGCGCTTCGAGCGGTTGCATTCGAGTAGTATAAGGTTTTACGGGTCTATCCGATACTAAGACGACTAAGTCCCTCTACGACTTCTTCGCTAGAAAGTATAGCATCTACTTGCAGTTTTATAGCCTGCCTATCGTTTAGGCAAAGGATAACTATTGCTTGTCCTCTAATATATCTAAAAGGTTAGCTCCTAGTATACTAACTATTATTAACTTTTATTAACTTTTAGTAAGACCTAGCGATAGGACATCTACTATACGAAGCTACTATCCGAACTTTTATTAACTTTTATTAACTTCCGGCAATACCTAGCGACCGTAGAGGTTATTCGAACTTTTATTAACTTTCGGCAAGACCCGGCGATCGTAGATCTTATACAACTTTTATTAACTTTTAGTAGGACCTAGCGCTAGTAGATCTTACGCCTCCGATATTCGAACCTTTATTAATCTTCTATAAGACGTAGCGACCGTAGATATTATATAACTTTTATTAACTTTTGTCGACTTTTAGTAAGACCCGGCGACCGTAGATCTAGCTTAACTTTTATCGACATTTAGCAAGCCTAGCGATAGTAGATCTTATACTTATACCTTACAAACCCTATATTCGAACTTTTATTAACTTTTAGTAAGACCTAGCAACTGTAGATCTTATACGTTAAGAAGCCCTAATCCGAAGTTTTATTAACTTTTAGCAAACTTCTATAAGTTTTAATAACCGGCGATAGTAGGTATTATACGTCGAGAAGCCCCTATCCGGCAATTCTTATTAACTTTCGGTATTTATAACGCCGCTAGTTTAGAAGCATACTTCGTCTAACTGTAACCTTCTTAGCCGCAAGATGCACTATATTCTCGATAGCATATACCGCTAATCCGATAATATTAGCGGAAGCAGTAAACGTAGCTAAACACTCTATAGATATAAACATCTAGTAATTCGACGACTTTACCCGCTAAATAGGACTAACGATCGCTAACGACTATCGCCTACGACATAGCAGCTCGTATCGCTCTAATTAAGGCAAAACATAAGGATACTAGAGACTAAGCCGGTCTAATTGTTAAGAAGCTTATAGATTATATTAGCGTCGCCGCGACAACGGTTGTACTAGCATCTCGGAGCCTATAGGTTTAAGAAGCGCGGATATTACTTCCTGTATTTAAAGAGCTAAAAAGGATATTAGGCATAAAGATAAGACCTTAGCATAATAATAAGACTTTAGTAAAAGAAGATAACGAGAGTAGGACTCGAACCTTAAGACTTTAGTAAAAGAATATAGCCCCTCCGAGATTCGAACCTAGGTTACTCTAGTATAAAAGAGATATTCTCGATCGAGTATTACGTAAGTATATAGATTGTAACCGCTCTCGCGCCTATTAGCTCGGCTATTTCTACCTCCGACTATCGGTAGTCTATATAATTAGAGGCATTATAGCTACTAGATAGGCGGTCCTTAAGCAGCTACGCTCCGTTACTATACCGTAGAGCGTACTTAACTACTATACTAAAGGGCCTAATTAGATAACAGCAAGGCTATATAGTTCCTATATTAATATACTTAATCCGCGGCAATATCGACAAGTTAAACAAGTCCTATAGCCCTAAGGAGATTAAGGGATTAGGCTAAGGAACTTAGCCTAGGTAGCTTTAGCAATTACCTTAATCGCCTTATAGAACAGGCCGATATTAATTAGTAGTTATCTACGAGAAGTTGAACAATAAGCTTAAGTCTAAAACAACTAGCAAATCTTAGCGTAATAGACAGACGAGAAGTGTAACGATAAGAAGATTAATAATAACCTTAAGCCCGAGACAAGTAGCAAACCTTAGCGAAATAAGAAGGTTAATAATAACCTCAAGCCTAAGACAACTACTAAGTCTTAGCGTAATAGAGGTTACTCTTAGCGCGAAGTTAAACAACGAGGACTAAGACAACTAGCAAATCTTAGCGTAATAGATAGACGTTACTCTTAGAAGATATTAGAAAGTAGTAGATACGGATATTGTATTTCTTAGCGAAGTAGTCGTAGAGGGATATAGGCCTTGTACTGCTTAGCGTCCTAGTAGATAAAGCGCTCGATGTAATACTTATCCTCGTTCTGCTAGCTACGGTGCTTAGTAATAATACGGACTTTGCGGAACTTCTTAAGACTAAGACTATATTCGCCCTTCTCGCCTATCTTCTAGAGACCGGTCTAAGCCTAAGCAAAAACAAAAGCTTTTAAAACTACGAAGACTACTACCTAAAGCAGATAGAACTAGTAGAAGTCGATGCGTACGACGAGACGCGTAGGTACTAGAGGAGGTAGAGCAGGTACGAATAGTAGTAGTAGTAGCGGTAGTAGTGCTATAGGACCGGCCGGAGGTGCGATAGGAGGCGGCAAGGCAAGCGGCGCTAGACTAAACATACCCGGCGCGAATAGTCTAAGACCTTATAGATTTAGCAATAGTGCTATTTAAGGTAGCTGCTACGGTGCTGCTATACCCTATCTAGATCTATATTAGTAGCAGGAACGACGATTTAACTAGGCTAGAGAATAACTTACCTAGCCCCGAAGCGAGTAGCCCGCCGTAGGAGCTATGCTACTACTACTAGCATATCGGCCTCGTTGAGCTTTATAACGGCTATATTTCCTAGTTAGCGCGTACTTAAGATAGAGACGAGCCTACTAGGGCAACTTATAGAGTACTAGTACTATCTTTGTTACTTTCTATGCCGTTAGCGTAGTTCTTGTATTTAAGGTAATGCTATTATAGAAGAGAGCGAGAAAGCGTACGTAGTATCGATAAACTAAATAGAAGAGAAGCGTCTTAGGAAGCAGGCAATATATAAGCGTAAGAGTAAGGTAAGTTTAGTAGGTTTAGTTATTTAGGTAAGCTCGTATTGTTCTAAATGTTAATAGGAAACTTACAACCTAGCGTTCCTTCCTAGCAACGTCGTAGTACGCTCTAAGGCGTTAACGAATGCGGGAATACTATACTCTACTAAGATAAAGAGAATCGAGTCTATCGAGAAGGCATTTAAATCTTTAAACTAGGAGCTATTGAATTTATCAAACTAGGAGCTATTTAAGCTATTTAAACAACTAATGTTAAAGCTAGAAACCATTTAAATTAAACAGTAGGACTAATGCTAGAAATAATAGAATCTATATTAATACTCGATACTTAGCCCTTCTTGCAATCCTTCTTGCCTCCCGTAGATCCCGGCGATATTAGAGGAGGTGTCTGCCCTAGATAATGTCCCTAAGCTGCCTTGAAATTCTCTCGCGCTATACCTATAGCCTCTCGCTCGATCGCTACCTAAGCTAGCCCTTAAGATCTAGCACTCGTCGGCTAGACCTACTACTAGTTAACTTAACGCTACATTTCCTAGTCTATACGCTATACCCGCTCGGTAAATAAAGGCTGTTGCTGCAAATTAAGCGGCGCTAGCTTCTTCGAAGCCTTCTTGCTATCGTTCTAGGAGCTTATCGTAGCGACTAGGTTTAGTGCTATATAATTAAGCTCGGAAAGACGTTTAATCTAGATACTCGATGCTTAATGCTTAATGCTTGATGCTTAATGTTCGACGCTTAGTGTTTAGTGCTTAGTATAGAGCCTAGGTTATTAGTATATGCTTTCGTTGTCTCGTAGGGTGTCCTACTTAAGAGGGGATCGAGCCGTAATAAGTACTACTCTTCGACTGAAAGTTTGCTACCGTTGCCTACGAGAACGTAGCTATCTAGTAGCAAGCATAACCGACAAGTATAACTAAATAACTGCTATAGCAAGCAGTATATGCCGTATAATAGACGGTATAGCTATAGCTAATATACGGAAGATTACTACTCGGAATAAGGCAATTTCTAACGTAGGAGACATGCTAATACTAATCTAAGTCGCAATACTAGAGCCTATAGCTCAATTTAGGTCCTATACTAGTCGTTAGAAGTAGGGGATTATCCTTCGCGGCTTTACAACCCCCTATTCTAACGTATTAGGTTCTTACTCTAAGGTAGATATACAAAGGCCTAGCTATCGGCTACAACGCGGAACGCTTAGAGATACTAGCTTATCTAACCCTCTACCTTAATACTATTACCTATTAGTTACGTCTGTTTCGTGCCTACTATCTATCTAGGTCGAGTAGGTCGTTAGCTAGATCTCCTTGCTATCGGCTTGCTTTAAGTTAACGAGCAGTCGATAGTGCTAGCTATATTAGAGGGCCGTTTGCTCGCGCGTACTATATTAGGAACGCAGGCTCGTATTACGGCTACG